TGCCAACAACTAACAATTTTATGTACGAAGTCATAACTGTGCAAAATCATTTGCACAAAAAATCTGTTTTAAGGTGCATGATCGCTAAAGCGATTCCACTCTTTTTCGCTTGGACGATTAAGTGATCGTACATCGCTTAATCAATCATGTGATGGGTAGATACAAAATCTGTTTTAAGGCGCATGATCGCTTAAGCGATTCCTCTCTATTTCGCTTGGTCGATTAAGCGATCGTACATCACTTAAGCGATCATGTAATGGGCAGATACAAAATATGTTTTAAGGTGCATGATCGCTTAAGCGATCCTTAATGATCGCTTAAGCGATTCCGCTCTTTTTCGCTTGGTCGATTAAGTGATCGTACATCGCTTAATCGATCCTGTGATGGGCAGATTCCTCTCTATTTCGCTTGGTCGATTAAGCGATCTTACATCGCTTAAGCGATCATGTGATGGGTAGATTAAATATCTGCCCAGGTGCATGATCGCTTAAGCGATCCGTGATATCGCTCGAGCGATTCCTCTCTGTTTCGCCTGGTCGATTAAGCGATCATGTGATGGGCAGATTCAGTATCTGCCCAGGTGCATGATCGCTTAAGCGATCCGTGATATCGCTTAAACGATTCCTCCCTTTTTTGCTTGGTCGATTAAGCGATCGTAAGCGATCATGTGATGGGCAAAATAATCTATTTTAAGGTGCATGATCGCTTAAGCGATGAGTGCTATCGCTTAAGCGATCCTGTATGAACAACCCTTTGTCGCTTAAGCGATATACTTAGTCGCTTAAGCGATCATGTGCAATACATACTTTTCCATCTTTTCTCCTGAATTTTGACAAACTAAAATTACCAACACATATTAATTCCGTACTTTCTCCTCAATTTGATAACCTAATTCTGAACTAAAATCACCAACAAATATTTACGCTATGTAAGAAGACTACTAAATATAAAGAATAATTTATTCAAGGTAACAATAAAATTTAAAACATCAATAATTAAAAACAATAACTCATCAACGGTTGGCCTTGGCAACTCCCTGAATTTCATCCTTCTTCGAACCTAATTTTATGGATCTGCATGTGATTGCTTCTAGCAACTGCTTCTTTTGTGGCTAGGTTGCTTGCAAATTGAGCACTTATTCATCTTCTGGGGAACCTCAAAGGCTGATGGAATACGCTTAACTCTTTTTCTCCCCTTTGCTGTCTTCTAGAATGGCGGATGGATGATAATATCAGCCAACTCTGGCGGTACTACCCACTGCTCTTATAGAGACACTGGATATATCGTTTCTGAATAAGCTAGCATGCAGTGATTTGCCATATAGAGAGGGGAGCAAACTTCCATGTAAATTCTTGAACCAAAATCTGCCTTCGGTTGGTGTTTCAGTGCTGCTAGTGCATGAGGACAAGGTAAACGTTGAATGTCAAGCACTTTACAGCTGCAAGTTTTTCTAACAATGTTAACTAAGGCATCCAAACCATAGCCGCGCACAGTGAACTCTTAAGCATTAAGAAGATAGGCAAATAGTGCATTTGACAGTTCCATACGTTCTCACAATAATTTTTCAGCTGACGAAACAAGGGTTGTAGCAAAATTATCTGACTCCGTACGATGCTCATGGAACCACCGCGACAATGTCCTCTAGATTGCATCAAAAAGTGCAACTATTGAAAACTCTCTTTCTATTAACAACTTCGAATTTATGGAGTCGGCTATATTCGTGGTCATGACATCAAACCTTCTTCCAGGAAAATAAGCTCTACTCTATCGCTCGAAACCAACATCACGCTCAAGATACTTAGCAACTTTATCATCCTTTATTCGGATTTGCTGGAAGTGCTCCTCGAACTCGTCAACCTGATAAGCTTTTGTTGCCATGTAGTATGTCTGAAGGAGGCCAGCACACTTAAACTTTTGTTTTATGTTCTCACCAAGATGCCTCATACAGAATCCGTGATGTGCTTGATGGTAAATAGTGGCAATCCCCTTCTTTATAGAGTTATACCTATCGGATATTATGCACAACTCGTCACTATCAGGCACTATCGTACGTAATTGCTGAAAAAACCAAGTCCACGACTCGTCATTCTCAGAGTCAACCACACACCATGCAACAGGATATGTGTGATTCTCGCCGTCCTATGCAGTGGCCACCAACAATGTACCTCCATACTTCCCCGTCAGAAAGCAACCATCAATAGCCAACACCTTTCTCATGTTTACAAAACCCCTTATAGCAGAACCGTAAGCAACAAAAAAATATTTAAACATCATATTCTTGTCCCACTTCAAAGCCGTCTTGGTACCTTGGTTTGTCAACTCAAGCATATAACGGTACGCTTCTAATACTACGTACCCGTGCTTCGGCGTGCCCCTCACAAAATCTTGTGCATGTTGTCTCCCTTTCCAGCATTTCCAGTAACTCACAGCACATCCCAACTCTGTGCGCACTAGTCTCTGAATGTCTTTAGGAGATGGCCCTTTCCCTTCAACGAACCGACTTTTGACAAATTGTCCAATAACATCAGCAGAGGCTTGTTGATGCTCACCTGAAATATGTCCTAAACCACATGTGTGCTCATGGGTATATGTGCTAAGAATAAATTTTTCGGACTCCGCCAACCTTCTACAATAAACCCGCCACTTGCACTTTCGGTCACGATATGTAACCGTCACTGCCAATGAATTTGACTTTTTGGTGATGAACTCAAAATGACCTCTCATGGCAACAAGTTTTAGATTCCTCACCACTTCCTCTTTGTTGTCAAATAAATACCCTATGCACAACTCTGATCCATCCGTAAAAACATGAGCTGATTCGCTACTACCTCCAATTGCCTTCTCTGAACCTGCATAAACGACCATAGTGTTCTCTTCCTCACAATCTACACCTTCTGCATAATCTGTATTTAAAGGAATCTCTACATCTGTGGGAACATGTATGGGGTCCTCCTCCTAAACATTTTCATTCTGCCCCCCATCACCAACCTCTTCTACAGTGTCTTCCTCACCACCTAATTCACCATCTACTCTTGATTTTTCAACTAACAAATCAATGGCCTCGTAGTTCAAATCAAAACCAGGCAAATCTCCGCCTACTTCCTCGTTATCCCCTTCCTTTGAACTAATTTTCGTCGGTTTTTCTACAAAAGAAACCCTTAAAATCGGTCTCAAACCATTATCGGCCACATCAATCATATATAACTTCACACTTTTATCTGACTTTAATATAGCAGGAGGTACCTTATAATGTTTAGGAACTCTGCTTAAAACATACTTCACAACTATATCACTACGCGAGCAACTCAAAATTACCTATTCTAATTATTTCATCAATCAACTCATCAAAACTAACCTCTGTGCTCACAACAATTGGTATAACTTCTTTGCTCTTCCCAATCCACTTCCAGCTACTTTCTTCCTCCACCCACTCACCAAAATATTCAACACCCAAAACAACTTGTCTCATGTGTAATAATAACCAACTACTACCTGTAATGCAAGAAAAAAAAATATTCTTAAATGCTGTACTAAGGGTTAAAATATTTTAAAAAGAATCTGGACAGTCACTTATATGGTCTGGTTATACTCGATCGCTTAAGCGATCAGGTTGATCGCTTAAGCAATCAAGTATAAATAACCATGATCGCTTAAGCGATCTTATGCCATTTACTGATTGCTTAAGCGATCTTATGCCATTTACTGATTGCTTAAGCGATCTGCTCCTACACCAGACTTTTAGCAGATCGCTTAAGCGATCTTATGCCACATACCTGATCGCTTAAGCGATCTATCTGCTGCATTACCAGATCTACCACATCGTTTAAGCGATATGCCAGATCGCTTAAGCGATCCATCATACCCAGAACACATTTTCAAAGTCATCTCTACCTACAATCGATCCATCATACCCAGAATACATACCCAGAATAAATTTTCAACATATTTCACTCCTTTCAACTTCCATTACATTGAACACAGCCCAACAACCTAAACAACTAAATCAAAATCATAACCCAAACCCAAACCCAATCCATGCTAAATCAAAACCATAACCCAGATCTTTGTAAATTGAAATATGAAATCGAAAGGGGATACACATACCTGGACGAAATTTCAGGAGGAGGAGAATCGGTGTTGGACAACATGTTAATGGCGGAGGAATGCGTTAACGCGGCGGGAGGAAGAAAAAAAAGGTTTTTGTGTTTCTTTGCAAGATTTTCGACTCTTTGGGGACATATGATAATTTTTAAAAGATTACACAATTATTCATTAATCATTATTAACCCCTAATCATATATAATTAAGCTTAATAAAAAATAAGGCTATTTAGTTAACATTTACAAACTACATAGCCTTTTAGTTAAATTTTAACTCCAAATGTCTTTTTAATAAACTGCCCCATGGATCATAACAAAGTTATTCCAGAGTTGTTTATTACTTTGTTAGGCTGAATTATGTTTTCCCACCATTCGTTAAATTCAAACATTAATTTTACTAGTAAAGGGGTATTCTTGTAAGTTGCACAATATGTACATCCGCCAAACTTAGAAGGGAAATTGTACATTCGCCAAATTTGGAAGGGAAAATGTCATTCAGCCTTGTTTATTAATGTACTAGATTTCAAGACAGGCCTAACTAAATTTTAGAATTTCAAGGTGTCATCAACAATTTGTCCTCTTTATCTCCTCTTAAACTGATTTTTTTATTTTTAGTTTTCCAGGGCAGACGCCAAATCATTCCCAGAAAGAACTTCACTCAAGGCCATCGTTCAGATTTCACTTGAAAATCAGTGTCAAACATTGGTTTTACAAAGCAAGCTTGATATGACAGATTACAGGTTTGAAGCATTATTAGAGGTTCTATATTTGGTTGAACTTAGATATAAGATTAAAATGTTCAGATTTCTTCATGATTTGATAAATTAAACAATACTGTTCAATGAGTGTTATTGTTATAAAAATTAGGCTTAAATGTAATGAATTGTGAGTGGAACTGACCTACACTCCTGTACTCAGGGCATGATTAACTTCTGATTCACTTCCCCTCCTGTACTTGCATTTCCAACAAATAATGAAGGGATGGTAGCATATATGGAGTGAGTCCTGTAATCAAGGATTTCAATTTAACCAAACTATTATTTCAATGGGTTACAAGACCAGAGAATTGCAGCATCAGATTATGGACAATTAGAAAAATCACAATAGCATAGATTCAAAATTTGTGTAGTACCATTAATTGTTCAGTACACTGAGTTACTTCCTCTTCTTCGGCTCCATTGCTTTCCCTTGCAGAAAAGGGTACGTTTGTGTGGCTGGAAAAGAGAACTACTCACATATGTAGAACGCACCACATAAAAAAGGAGACGCCATTGTTGCTTAGTGAACAAAAGGACTAGTATAGAAGCGATTACAGTAACAAGAATAGGAACCCACAGCACTCCATCTTTGAAAACAATGAAAATAGTTGCACAAAACACTACCATCATTGCTGCTATTGATAATAAAAGTGTTGCAAGTCCAGCAACCAGCTTTTTTGGTAACTGTGAGAGGAAATCTTCTTCTGCATACCGGGAAGTTAGAATGGATAAAAAGGTTAAGATGGAGCATGCGGAAGATACTAGCGAAACTGCATCTGATATAACAAAAATTTTGAAGGAAGTTTTTTGAATAAAATGAGGAGTCCCCGTCTCGTCTTTGGTGCCACCTGGGACAGTGAAAGCTGCTGCAAAAACCACAGTGGCAATAAGAGTTGCCACAATCATGCAATAGTTTGCAGTGTTCTCTCCCTTTATCTTTGATTCTCTCCTTAGTAAATAAAGCTCTTGGAGTTTTCCCTTCACTGTTTTTATCCTGGGCATCCAATGGATGCATAATTTTACTGACCTACAAATAATGCTGTAAAAGATCTTATCAGTTAGCGTAACGAATATTGCTTTCTAAACAAAGGAGAACCGTAATATTCATCTTAAACCACAGCAACTCTCGCTGCAGTTGCAGAGCAGCTCCTGATACAACATTGAGCCGATCTGGTGGTGCCAACATTCCAGCCAAATGCAAGATATTATTGTCTTTTTTCTCCTTGGAAGCAACTATCAAATCCTTAAAAGTACCAATCTCATGTATGAGTTTGAAGATGTCCCTATGACGATTCATAACAGCAAAATGAAATATACTATAATTATTTTCATCAACTTCCAGTATCAAATCAGGATATTCAGGTATAAGTATAATTAGAAGCTCAATGTTTCCTAGTTCTGCAGCAACAAATATCAGTTGTCGGGCAGTTTTAATAATATTTGAAATTGCAGTCTCATCTGACAATATGACTTGTTCCCAAAGGCGTTTGATTAGTTCAAGTGCTTTAGGAGGCAACTTGGTGTTGCTACCTGAAACTACAAATTTGATTAGCCAACATCAGCGTACATAAATCTTTAGGCCTGTTAACAATGACAGAAGTCATTGCAATTCATTCTAAATAAGTAAAAGAACATAGGAGATTTACTACCTAAACAATTCGCAACGAAAACATTTTCTAGGCAATACTTAACTACATATGTAATGATCAAGTTAAACTAGGAATTTGATTAACACTCCGAGTCACACAATAAAAATGTCCAACAATGTAACCTACAGTAACCACAACATTACCACTTCATTGTGCTATAAAAGAAATCACGTTATTGCATAAATGCCATATGGCCAAAATTTTGATTTGTGAAAAGTCCGGAACAAATTCTATATTGCAATAATCAAGATAAATTAGCAGTTTGAAAATATATCATAAAAATCCTTTAGCGTCAGAACACACTTGCAAGTTGCAAATGATTCTTTGGCAAAAGGTGCTGGTCAGTATAAGAATATATCGTGAAATTGTATCAAATTCAACTTGCTAAGAAAATATTTAGTAATAGCAGGTTTGCAAAAATGGTTTCTGAAACAAAAGGAAAAATTAAAACTGAAAGGTTAAAGTGCAAATTTTCATATCTGTTCGCGCTCCTAATCACAATTGTCATGTAAACATATATTTCAACTATAAAACAAAAAACAGTAACTTATATATTTAGGCATGCTGAATATGTCAAAGATTAAAGGAGACTAACACAAATTGACACATTGTTTCCAAAATCCTCGCTGAATTTAAGAGGCAATAGGCGTTCGAGCCAAGGCAAGCAATGCTGTCTCCTCATTTCCATCACAAGCGACGGCTAACTCTGGGTGTTTCTCTAGCAAATCCAGTGCAACATCTGAGTACACAACAACCATCATTAGAGATGATATAGTATCAATTCTAAATAGTGGAAGTATGCAGTTGCCATACATAATACTATATTAATTATGTTTCATAAAAGGAAAATTTTCAGATTTGTATTCACCAAGCCACTTGTGCTATGAAAGGGTTCTTTCATTAGTTTTGTCAAATCATATGCCTCTTGATGAGAATTCACAGTGTTCCTTAAAAGAATAATAGGACATTTGTTAAAAAATATATTAATCTGACCACCATACATGGAATTTCAATCTTATACCAAAGGTTTCAATCTTACATTGTAAAATTCAATTTAAAAGATATCAAGTATACTACAATTAGCCAAAATATAAAGAATACCTTTTACCTACCATACAAACCATTGCTTATTAGAGTGATAAGCAATTCAATGCGGTCGTTGTCATATAATGACTCGTCATCAGTGGCTTCATAAAGAAACTGTACCATCTCTTTATGGCCAAACAAAGCGGCCATGTAAAGTGGTAACATCTCATTTCTACCGCGGATCATTGCTAAGTTTCTATTCCTTTCCAGGACATCAGCTAAGTTTGTACTCTCCTCTATCATGTTGGGAAGTTCCACCTTCTGGGACTCAACAGAGAGACAATAAGCTGTTTTTCCAACTCCTTTCTTTGTAGTTAGATCCTCTTTTTTCATCTTATTCATCATCACTTGGGCAAGTTCCACATTTCCAGACACAGCAGCAAGACAAAAAGCTGTATTGCCTGAATAATTTGTAGTAGCTAAATCCTCTTTATTTATATTATCCACCAACTTTTTCAAAAAATCAGTTTGCTCTGCTGCAGCTGCAATATGGAGAGCAGTGTCCCCTTCCTTTGATATCCTCACTCTTATATCATTTTTATGTTTTTTGTAAATACCCTCAGCCATGCTCCAATCACCACTTAGTGCAGCTTGAAACAATTTTAAGTGTCTAATTCTTGTTTGCTTGTCTGTCAAGTGGCAGCATTTATAACAAGTTTTATCAATAAAATTGTTGATTCTTTAAAATATGCATATAAAAATACACATATAGGCACCAATATCAATCTATATTAAATAGTAGCTAATATCATGCCTTTGGAAAACAGTTTCTTGCCAAGTTGCCAAAGTGATTGGTAATGAAGCTAAAAGATTTTCCCCACGGTAAACAATCCATCTGAACAGAAACAATAGCACAGGTATAACACATTGTAAAATCTAAGCATACCAGCCAATTGACCATAAGGTGAAGCAATGATAATTTCAACTTCTTCATTTGAACCATTTCCGGATGCAAAGGTATCCCTCATGATTTCAATAGTCGGCATTGTGTGTAAACCTACAATAACTTTATATTGTTAGATAAGTTGAATTTGATAGATTCTCTTTCATTACAAAATAATACTTCCATCAAATTTTTGAATAGTGATTGATTTATCACATTTTAGTTAACATTACCATATAAAATGAATGATCAGATAATATCATAAGAGAAACAAGAGTGTTGCATTAGTTATCATATCCATAGTATAAAGAATCGTAAAGTAAGAAGAAGACATTAGATGCTTTCATCAAATAATGCAGAATCTTAGAATTTCAGGATGTCATTACTATTTTGATGTTCATATAACTTAAGTTATATTACTGTAGTTCTACCACAACTACAGAGTACATAACAATGTATAGTTGTAAACTGTGGTGCTTTACATGTTTGAGGTATTACAATGACCTCCCCTATCGTTTGGGGAAAGTGTCTAATAGATCCAAAAGCTTTTTAATGTAGAAAGAGCTCCCTTCAAGGTCATTAATCAATGAAAAATTGTCATCTTAAATCATCTAATAGCCCTCAATTTTTTCTTTACATTGTTAATAATTAATAAAAGGCCTTGAAAAGAGGTCTCCTTACAATTTAACAACTTTAGGTCCAGCTAAACATTCCTCAAACCTCAGGGAGGTCATTGCGAGTTACCTTAGTCTAAACTTTACCTTCTCCCCACTACACGATATTTCAATCTAGATGGTAAAAAGTTTCTGACCTTCATAAACGACCTTTTTTATGAACTGCACATTTCGCACAGGCAAAATTTAAGTGTAAATTGGTGAGTTATACAAAAGTTGGACAAATATTAGCATAAATTTAAGGATTACAAGGAAATTCTACGAAAAACAAAAAAAAAAAAAAAAAAAAAGAAGAATGTTTTGATACTTTTTTGCCCTCTTGGTAAGATTGATAAGTATCCAAAGCTATTGACGATGGCAGTCTTAAAACAACCAAAAATTGAAACTTGACAAAATAAAACAAAAATATACATTAAAAAGAAGAACTGGTTTCAAAAAGCTTACCTTTTTTTGGCTTAAGATGCAATCCCCAGCGAAATGGGAAAATGAAGAGCAAAGAGAGAATAACGAGGCTGAAAGCTGAGAAAGAGGGAAGTAAAGTAGTGGCAGAGAGAAGAACAATGCCACACCATCACCAACTCAAACAGAAGTCTCAGCAGCTCTACTCTGTAGCAGCTTTCTCTCTCTCTCTCTCTCTCTCTCTCTCTCTCTCACCCAAGACCAAGAACTACACAGTAGCCATTCACACAAAGAAAAGGAACACCCTTTACTGATAAACCCTCTGTTTTCAGTGTATTACAACTGTACTGAAACTTGCCCAAAAAATATACATCTCTGCAGATCTACATTTGAGCTTTCATCCTCTGCGCCCATGACCAACTCCGTCAACTTCTCCACCGCTCTTCGCACACCTTCTTCTTCGAGCTTCAGTCCCCGTCACGGTGAGGAAACACTGTTCTGCTTTTGGGTTAAAACTTGAATTTTGCTATTCAATTCAGTTATCAAAATGGAGGATACCTTTTTCTGAGGGAAATGTTTAGTAAAGTTCATGGTTTTATTATTATTAAAATTAATTGGAATAAAAAGGTTTTAGTTTTAAGAAAAATTGTTATATTTAACAGAGCATGAGCAAGTAGTGGCGGAAAGAAATATACTGAGGGATCAACTGGCTCGGAGAAATGAGGAAATTAAGAAGCTTAAAGCAGTTATTGATTCTGCATTGAAGGATTTGAGCAATGTAGTTACTCGTTTAAAGGAAGTTTCTCCTTCTAATGAAGAAGAAGATGGAAGAAAAATAGCTCAGCAGCCGATATCCCCTGAAGTGAAATCAGCCAACAAATGTGAACCACAAAAAGTTGAGCCAAAAACAGCTGAAGTAAGAGCAACAGGAAAACGCAGAAATGATATATGGGGACGGTCAAGTGGTGATGATTCGTTGCCACCTTCGAAAAAGTCTCATCTCAGCCGGAGCACAGGTCGGTCCTTTCCTAGTTTTAGATTTTCTGCTTGGGGGTTCTCTATGTGGTTTGAAGTCTTTTTGCTATAGAGGATTTTCTAATTGTACTTTTACTTAGTTTAAAGCAATAATGTTGGCTAATATACCTCGCATCAGTTACTCATCGTGGACTCATTGAACAATAAAATCTAAAAAGCAGGTTCATTCGTAAAGGTAAAACATAAAATAAAATAAACTCACAACATCCATATCTAATTAGAATATAAAACCTAAAAAAAAAAATATAATTTAACCCTAAAATAAATTAAATTAAAATAAACAATACACATACCTAAAACTAATAAAACAAAAAACATAACTAATTATTATACATTAAATAATAAAAGCTTTAATAATTTCGATCTTCAAGAGAGCAAACAGCATAAAAAAGAGAATGAAAGAATAAGAGTGTAAAGAATTTTAGAATAAAATCATAAAAAGTAACGTGGTGAAAAAAGTGAGAGTTTTAAATTTTTAATATAATGTAGACTTGAAATCTATACATTAATAACATGTTTTTTATAGGCTTAGATATATATATAACAGTTCTCATTTGTTTTAAATTTCAAAGTAGCTTCATATATATAACAATTTTTCATGGGTCTATATATTATTAATTTTTGGGCGAACGACTTGTACATACCCAAAATTTACTGTAATGACAAGTTGGTACCCAAAAGGTTTTGAAACGACAAATAGGTACCTTCCGTCATATTCTGTTAGTAATTTTTGTTTATTAATAGTGAAAGACTAAAATGCCCTTCAAAGTTTCAATTTTTGTTTTTTATAAATTTAAAAATTTCTAAAAAACCCCCTAGGTTTGCTAATTTAATAAACACCCCCATATATAAAAAGTTTGTTAAATGACAAAAATACCCCCACCACCCCAATGCCAGATTCCGGCCACCATCGCCGGAATCTGGCCGAAAAACTGCATTACGACAAAGATCCCCATCGGATTTGTGTCGTAAAGTGCCGATGTGGCCTTTTCAGGCCAGATCCGCCACGGATCTGGCCGGAAAAGGCCAGATCTGGCCGTCGAAGCAGCAGCCAGATCTGGCCTTTTCCGGCCAGATCGACGCGTTACGGCACAGATCCGACGGGTCTGTGTCGTAACGCAACTTTCCGGTCAGATTCTGACGGTGGTGGCCGGAATCTGGCACTTGCCGGTGGGGGGTGTTTTTGTTATTTTATAAAACTTTTATATATTGGGGTATTTAGTGAAATTTGTAAACTTAGGGGGTTTTTTGAAATTTTTAAATTTATAAAAAACTAAAATTCAAACTTTTAAGGGTATTTTAGTCTTTTTACTATTAATAAACAGAAATCACTAACAGAACATGACGGAAAGTACCTATTTGTCATTTCAAAATCTTTTGGGTACCAACTTGTCATTACGATAAATCTTGGGTATGTATAAGTCGTTATCCCTTAATTTTTTTTAAATCTGAGGATAGGCCTAGGACTGGATCCGCCGCTGATGATGTTGTTGATTAATGATAAAATAAGTGTTGTTACATGAATTGAATTATAAGTTAATTAATATTAAAACATAGTATGAAATAATTAATAAATGCTAATGAGTTGCCACCTCTGATGTTGAACTCTTAGCAAATTGTAGAGTTTATGTTACAAACAAGGGTTCCTCGTGATCCTTAGAAATTATTGAGATTTGAGTAGCAATAAAAAGATAATGTAAAAGTGAAACTCAGTGTGATTCAATTTAAAAGGTACGAATTGTGACGGTTGACTTGTCAAATGCCAGGTGCTTTACCATATATTGTCAGTTGTCACATGGCACTCAACAATTAATAATTAATAAAATATTAAATATTCGATGTATAGCACGATGGTACGAACTTTTGACTTGTTTGCAAATGACAATTAAATAAGTAATCACATGGAGTTTATGTCTTGTTTAATTTATGATAAAGGCCGAACGACATGCACTCACCCATAGTTTGTTATAAGGACAATATGATACCAAAAGATTTAAAAATGCCAATTATCTACCTTTCGTTCAAATCTATTAGTAAAGTTTGTTTAAAAAAGGATAATATGATAATTTTATATCCAACAAAAAAATAACATTCTACATCGTCCAATCTCTCTCTTTAATATTAATTTTATAAAAATCTTTCTTCTCAATTTTAATTATTTTATTTTTATAATTAATTTTAATTAAAATCTTGTCTTCATCTTCTTCATCTCTCGCCAGAACCACAGGACAACAACCAGCAAAAACGACCAAAGCCCCAAAAAAACCTCACTCAAATCACCAAAAGATTCAATGCAAAAAATCCCAAAGAATCACTCTCAAACACTCAAAGGAACCAAAACACGCAAGGCATAGAAGGTTTGGGGCAAAACCTCAAACAAGTAGTGTGCCAAAACTTGGAAAATCAATCATCAATGCCAAAACCGATCAGAAATCCCCAAAAATCAAACAAAAACAGAAAAAAAAAAAAAAAAAAAAAACACTCCCAATTAATCCCCAACCATCAATTTCCCATCAAAAACACCGAAAAACACCAATCAATCTCAATTCAACAAACAACAAAAACCCTAAGAATTCAATAGGTGGTGAAATGTGAGCAAACGATGACGGGGAAAATGGGGGTTTTGGAGAGGGCACACCGAAAAGACGATTGGTGGGGAGAGGAAAAGTTTTCAGTGATGGGGCTTCCGGAAAATGGGTGGGGAAGTGCGACAGCTTTGCAAAAGACCCCCTTTTTTTGCCCTTTTATGAGAGACGTGAAGATGGGAAGAGAGAGGAGAGAGAGGCTTTCGATTTGGCCATATTCCGGTGCCGGGTTCTTGCCTAGTGACTCGAGGAAAAAGAGGGAGAAGAAGGGGAAGAAAGAGAAGGGAGATAATAAGATAAAGAGAAAGAGAAAGAGAAAGGGGAGAAGAAGACAAAGGATCAGAGATTTGGGCAGATTTTTTTAATATTTTATTAATGCAATCTTTTTAACTTTTTTTTTAATGCACAAACCGTAAAACAAAAAAGTCAAAATTACCCCCACAAAAATGATAGAATGATGATAATACCATTTTAGTTAACAGATTTACTAACAGATTTGGACGGAAAGTGGGTATTTATTATTTCAAAACTTTTTGGGTACTAATTTGTCTTTAAAGCAAACTCTGGGTAGGTGTAAGTCGGTCCCCCTTTATGGTAATTCACAGTTTAAATTTATTGATATAAGTAATGCATGTGATATATATACTAATCTTTGATTAATAACAGATGAGTTGTCTTATAATACCACACAAGATGAGTCACAAATTATTAGGACTTATCTTATACAAAATGAATTATATAATTAATTAATATACTGAACATCACCAATTGCATAATCACAAAATTTTATGGTTGACATTATACATTTATAAATACAAATTTGAATTTATGAATGGTCATTGATGCCATGTGCTTATTTCATGGCAATTTTCTTGTTTTATCTCAATAGGTTCATTTAAACATATGCGAAATAAGTTGATTGAGTTCATTTGTGCTTGGGGGAATGATCATTCATCATCAACACATTACCAATCATTAAGGACATAAAGTAAAATACATAAAAGGTTTTTATATGGTTCTGCAAATTGCCTACATCCATGGGATTGTTCAAACGAAGTAAATCCATTATAGCATACATTCAAAATTCATTACAATGTCGAAGTTAAGCAAAACAAATGTAAAACATTCCCTGTTTTATAACACTCTAACTCCACCCTTTGATTCAATGTTTTGTCACAACTTGCTTGAATCCAAAAAACCTCTTAAGTAGCTTGAGCTCCACTCAAGCTTCAAATGCCAAAGACAACCTTTAGCTCCACAATTTGAAATCCCTAGAAGCTTTAATCAATGGAACCATGTTCCAACCACACTCAAACAACAAAGTTAAGATAAGCATTTTGAGCATCAAAAAAATAAAATGAACCTAACCTAAAACAAATAAACTCTCTAAGAATTTCAGAGAACAACCAAAGAAATATTAATGCTCAAACGTAAATGCAAGGATGAAGAAGATAATATAGAATCCTTGCTCAACGATCCACTAAACATCCAGCCGCCTTACACATGTTTGGCTATTTTAGAAAAGTTTTCAACAACTTGTTAGGACCACTTCTAAAAAGACAAAACAAATTTCCAAGACCACATCTGAAATACTTGACACTTGTATTTGGACCACTCACCCATATTTCATAACTGGAGAAAATCCTAACAACCAATGAAAACTCAACATTTGTACTAAAGGTCTGACTGGATAACTGATTACACATCTGACTGTAATGTGTTCACATATTTTGTGAGAAAATAAGATTAAGAAAATGTGCACACATTTATGTAGAATGTTATGACGTATAAACTACGGACACAAATTGTGCTTAATTAAATAAATGTGCAAACATCATATGGTTGTCAATATTATTAACTCATATTCACGGAGGCTCATGTCAGAGAGTTATATGTTACCCTAACGATCTTTTCAATCCATCTATTAAAAATTAAAACCTCAGGGTGATCAGTATTATCAACTCATATTTATAATTACAGTTTTAAATTTTGAATCAACATTATCCTGTTCTTCGGTCACAGAACAAAGATAGCAGACCATGAAATTCTCTGTGGCCTAACATAAGAGGTTGCTTCCACTTTGCCTCGAGTCGGTGGCAACTTTTTGTTCTTGTTAACCTTTTTGATCCCAAATGCTGTAGAAAAACAGGGAGTTATGTTCCGCTTCATACTTCATCTTATTAACCTTTTCTAAGTTTGAAGCAACACCTTTATGTATTAAAGGTAATATAATACTTAAACTTCACACCTTTATTTTGTGAAGTTTAATCAAGATTGTAAAAGAAACAAAACTGTAGGGATTGAATGCAGATAAGAAAAACAAAAGAAGATTATTTATTTTCAATTGACCGAGAACATCTTTTGTATTACAAAGACATCAATCCAAAGTGAACCCTGATCTCAACCGTTGGTTCATACAACAAGAAACACAAATTGAGTGTGAGCTATTCGTAGGATCTGCTATGCTTTCTGCACTAGTGATTAACAGGGCTCTTTCACCAGGAAGATGACAGGTCGTTTAACGGGAAAGATTTGAACTAACGCTTCCAGTAACAGAGTTAGAAAACTAAAGCTCTTAATTACAACTTAGACATTAACATCTGTTTCTTTTACCAACGGTAGCTTAATAACTTTGAACCTGTATCAGAAAGTTTGTATGAAAAATTTGTAAATGTAGTCTTATTCAAAAAACAACTTCCATCAGTCTTGATGTTTCAGTCATTCCTTTAACTACGAAGCCTGTGCCTCTTCCGGAATGAAGTTTGAATGCAGCTAGCACACCGTCCTCAATATATTCACTGAAATATCAATATAACTGCCACTTTTAGTTATAGAATTAAAAATTTAATCATAATTTTCTTTTATTATTATTTTAAGGAAAGCCAAATAAAGGTAACACCGTACTGCCATTCATCATAAGATCAATAATCAATCTAGTTAGTAAGACATGGTTCTAATAAGACAGAATATATTACATTATGTAAAATAAGTAAATAATGTCACCTGTTTTCATTGACGTAATGTAACACTTCTCCACCGACAGTCCAAGTTTTACCCACGTTCATTAGCGTTGAGAAAACAACCATTACCGTTAAAAGAACAGGCACCCATAGCCACCCATCTTTGAAGACAATGAACATAGTTGCAGAAAACACTACCATCATTGCTTCTACAGAGTATAGAAGTAAGTTTACGCCAAGAGCCAAATCATTAGTTATCCGCCGCAAGTGGAAATCTGCTTCTTCACATCGGGAAGAGATAACCGATACGAACATCGTTATGGAGGAAGAGGACAATAGTAATGCTATAGTATCTGATATTGCAAAAACTATGAAGGAAGCTCTTCGCAAAAAAATTGGAGTCCCTATATTCTCGTTGGTGCCACCTGGTACAGTGAAAAGTGCAGCGAAAACCACAGTGGTAATAATTGTTGAAGCCATGATGCAGGCAGTTGCATTGTCCTTGGTCCATTTTTCAGCTTTTTCCCTTAACTCTTTGTGTTGTTCAGTAAATAAAGCTCTAGGAGTTTTCTCTTCATTATTTTTAGCTTCAGCTACCACTGGATGTAAAATTCTCTTCACTCCCTGCAATACTTACGAAACATCTATCAATCAAAGGAAATAAATATTATTTTTCAAACCAAAGAGGGGAGTAAATTAATATTCACCTCGAACCACCACATCTCCCTTTCCATTTTATAAGGTAATGCCGGCGATTCAATATCGGGTGTATCTACTGGTGGCAACTTTGCAGCCAAATGCAAGATATTGTTCCCTTCTTTATCTGTGTCTCGAACTACCAAATCCTTAAATGGACCGATGTGATACATGGCATTGAAAATGTTACGGCGACGATACATAACAGCAACATGAAGTATGGTGTAATTATTTTCGTCAACTTCAAACATTAGGTCAGGATATCTGGAGAAAATTATGTCTAGAAACCGAAGGTTTCCTTGTTTTGCAGCCTCGAATATTAGAGACCTAGGTTTTCTAATAATTTCCAGAATCTGGCAGTCATCCAAAACCAAAAGCATAACTTGTTTCCAAAGACATTCGACTAGTTCAAAAGCTGAATCGGGAATCTCTTGACCAGTATCTGAAACAAGAAGTTTAGTTTAGCCAAAGCCAACATTAGTTTCAGAAAGTTGAGGATGAGGAAAATACCAGAGAGGAACTTGATTTATCTTCTTAACGAGACACTGAAAATGCTCATAGACAATAATTAACTTTTGTTAACTGAAATTTAATTCTATATTTTAAGTTACACATGAGAATTTTCATCTGTATTTTCACTATTTTTATACCTGACTGTTAAAAAATAATTAAAAACCTTGTCAAAGCTAAGGTATTAAAAAAAATAATAAAAAAAAATTCCGAACAGATACCCACAATGCACTTGTCTTTTCGCCTCATAAACCCGATGCCTCCAGCCCAGTCTTTTCGTCCTGCTTTGCCTTTTCTCATTCATCTGTTGCTCCCTCTCATTCATTTGATCCCTCAAGCTCAGCTTATTCCTCTCCTTCACCCGCTGCATCCCAAGCATTGACTGACATCTCTTTGTCACGTCTCTTTTTACTTCATTATCTGTTTTAAAACAAAATGAAATTAAACAACTTTTCTCTTACTTACAATTATATATATTAATATTATGATTAAAAAAAAAAAAAAAAACTACGGCAATATGATAGTTATAATGATTAGAGAGAACTCACACAAGTAGATGGCTGATTTCTTGCAAACTTCAATGGAGTTGAGGTCTAAAACACGCGTCAATACAGGTAATCGTGCCAAGCGATGCAATGCCGTCTCCTCATTTTTATCACGTGCAAGAGCTATCTGTGGGTGCCTCTCCACCAAATGCAATGCAGCATCTAGGAGAACAGTGATCACCATTATAAATTATATAGACTCAAGTTTACACATGTTAGATTCAGATATTTGCTAGCCCGAATATAAATATTAAAACTTTTACTTACCATACCAGCTGCGGTTTATGAGGCTGATAAGCAATTCGATGCGATCATTATCATGATCTAATATCACATCTGCAGTGGCTTCATAAAGGTATTCTACCATCTCTTTGTCTCCAATTAGAGCTGCCTTGTGAAGCGGTAAAATATCATTGTCTCCTCTAATCTTTACTATGTCTTCATTCTTCTTCATCATAGCCCTGACAATTTCAACCCTCTCGGACGCAACTGCAAGAAAAAAAGCCGTATTGCCAGCATTATTTTTTACGGCTAAATCCTCTTTATTCATTTTTTCAAGCAGCTTTTTCACAAAACCAGTGTGCCCTGCTGCAGCTGAAATATGGAGAGCGGTGCCCCCATCCTTTGATAGCTTAACTGGTATATCAATACCCTCTTCCTTGTAAATTTTTTCAGCAGTGTTCCAATCACCTTCCAATGCAGCCCTATATAATTTGAAGTGCCTACTTCTCCTTTCAATTTCTGTCAAGTTGAAAAAAGAACAAGTTTATGAATAAAATTTTGCTACACATAATAAAAGGGATGCTATAGCCTATAATCAATCAATATAATAAAAAAGACTTTACCTTTTGAGAATGAGATAGAATTTTGCAGCAGCAGCACTGTTTCTTCTTCTATGGTGGAAGAGTCCACCGGTACGTTCACATTAAACTCTGATGATTAAAATTAAAAAAAGATAATTAAGTACAGTTAACAAGGTTACATGTAGGGTTTCGATATATAAAAAGTTCTTTCTGTTAACTTTGTCATATTTGTAATTCCTCTTGACAAATTTATTGAATAGACCATTATAACCTATTAAAACAATTTTTTTCTTTTTTAATTAAGTTAAAAAAAATGCATTTATGGATAGATTATTAGCCATAAATATATGTTTTTTTTCTGGAATTACAAAGGAAATAATAAATGGAATAAGTGACACCAATATATCTAGGTGAAGATATCAAGGACGTCCTACAAAATAAATAAGATGGTCACATGGTCTGTTATCTAAGTTTTAATGAATGTTGCATTGTACTGTGTAAATATATCTTCTGTGCTAATATGAATATTTTATCTTTATTTCCTTAAAGAACAAAGAGTCTTAAAGTGACATATCAATTTCCCCCCAAAATTGAAAAATTAAAAAAATTGGATATTCTTTGCCTTTGATTTATATGAATTTGATATTAAAAAAAAAAAAAAAAATGTGTTTACTATTGAAAGATTCAATTTCACACGTGATCACCTTAAAATGAGAAAGTCTTGGGTACATTTTATTGTAATTCAAAAATCTAATGATTAAATATATATATTTTACTTGGATTGATGTGATATATAATCATCGGCTAAATATTGTAGTGTAACATTATGTATATAAGGCTTTCTTATAATATAGAGTGAATCAAGAATAGAAAGATGAATTTGTGAAATTAACCTTCAATCAAAATTTAATATCTATTTTTAACCCTCGAACTTCATAAGCAATTCATAATTACATAAAAACAAGAGAGATTAATGGAAACAAAAAATTAACGCGAACTTAGGAAATGTAGATCACATCTACCCGTAGAAACCAAAATGGTATTCAAAAAATGCATCTTACCTGAAAAAAAAAAAAAAAAAAAAAAAGGCACAAAACAAGTGCAGCATTCATTGCAATGTCAAATCGTACCATCCATTTTTTTATTAGGTGCAGCAATCACAATCTCAACTTTTTCTTCAGTCGAGGTGCATCCTGATGCAGCAGCGTAATCCGTCATGATTTATTTTCTCGTTTATTCGTGGTAAATCTGCAATGAACTTTATAAGTATTATACAAGGAATTTTGCAGCATAATATGAACCTTATGTTCTAATTGGATTCAAATTGGTAATGAATATTAATTAAAATAACAATCATTCATCTCAAGTACTTCAAGATCTTATATATAATAAATTCAATATCTAATCTTATAATTGTAGATGCAGCAAACTTGAAGAACAAAATAATGAGTTTAAGTTAAGACTCTACAAATGAAAGAAGAAGAAGAAGATTAGAATAACAATCATTCATATCATGTACTTCAAGATCTTATATATAATAAATTCAGTATATAATCTTATATATGCAGATGTAGCAAGCTGAAAGAACAAAAATAATGAGTTTAAGTTAAGACTCTACAAATCAAAGAAGAAGAAGAAGAAGAAGAAGAAGTGGGTTGAACTATTGTTGTGAGGATGATTGCACTTACTTGCCTCTTTTGTCACCTTGGATACAATATGGAGCTAGCTAAATTTATAAAAGAAAAAAATGGCCTGAAGTGAAGAGTAAGAGAAGAATATATGGCTCAAATGGCTTGAAGTGAAGAGTAAGGGAAGAATATATGGCTCAAATGGCCTGAAGTGAAGAGTAAGGGAAGAATATATGGCTCAAATGGCCTGAAGTGAAGAGTAAGAGAAGAATGTATGCGTAAATGGCCTGAAGTGAAGAGTAAGAGAAGAATATGTGGCTAAATTGGCCGGAAGTGAAGAGTAAGAGAAGAATATATGGCTCAAATGGCTGGAAGTGAAGAGTAAGAGAAGTATATGTGGTTCAAGGCCTCATAAAGGAAGTCATGAAGTCAAGCAGCGTCATAAATAACATATTCTCTGTCAAAGAAAAGGAGATGCTGAATGATGACAATATTTCCTAAGAAGGATGCCGGGATTTTTGCAATCTGTGTCTTCCTAATAAAGAAATATTAGGTCTAATTAAATTCCCATGTGGGATATATCAAAGTTGTTCCAAGTTCTTTACCAAATTACTCATCAAATTCTTTCAAGTTTGGTTATTCTTATATTCCCTTCCTAGGTAGCCCTTTCCCAAGTTGCCTCTTCCATAACATGGGCTCGTTGGCCCACTCTAGATGACTTCACTCTAGGTGGCCTACTCTCCCAGGTCGCCCCTTCTATAACATGGGCTCGTTGGCCCACTCTAGACAGCCGTAACATGGGCTCGGATGGGGTTTGGCTCTGATACCATTTGATAGGAACCTACTCTCAAATTAATTCCCTTCTCAGCCCCTTCCAAACATCGTTGGCCATAGCCTAATGTCCCAAGTTGCCCCTTCCGAAGCATCGGTGAGGTTTGGCTCTGATACCATTTGATAGAAACCCACTCCCAAATTGATAAAAATTGGGCTAGATAGTGGGACTTTGATGAGAACTGGGTTGGGCAGTGGTCTTTTTGTGAACTTGAGTAGAACTCTCCTTAGAAAACCGATTTGCCAATGAATGGTGCCCAAGCCCTTATAAACCACATGCCCATACTTTTTCCATCTCAATGTGAGATCCTAACAATATATAGGTGTCAAACATTGGTTTCAATGAAGCAAACTTAATATGAAGTTTATAAGTTGGTTACATGATCAGAGGTTTTACGTTGGAGTGAATGAGCAATTAAAGCAGAAGTTGGGATTTGTTTATCATGATTTGATAAATTAAATGAATCTTTGTTCATTACTCAGCATTTCCAATACATAATGAAAAGATTGTTTTGCAATGAGCTACTACAAGTGATGATTTGAACTAGAAAAAAAAATACTAAACTCATACAAATGACTAATCATATCAGAAAGAAGGGGGAATTGGAGCAGAGGAAACAGGGTGATAGGAACACTAGCAATAGTGGCTATTGGAATAGCTATTCATGCAAAGTCATCACTTAGAACAATGAAAAGAGTGGCTCCAAATGCTGCCATCATGGTTGCTATAGAGATGAAGAAAGCTGCAAGCCCTATTGTCAACCTGTTTGGTAATGAATGCAAGAAATCTTCTTCTGCACAGCGCAAGGTGAGAATGGAGAGGAACATCAATATTGAAGTGGCAGTGCAAAATAGTGCCAATGCATCCGATATGGCGAAAACCAAAAATGACCCGTGATGTAGAAAAACAGGCTTCCCTGTAAGATTATTATTGCCACCTAGTACAATGAAGGCTGCAGCAAACATCACGGTTGCAATAAGTGTTGCGACAACCATACATGAAGATGCAGTGTCTTTCATCCACTTTTCCCCTTCGCGAAAAAGTCTTCTATGCTCCTTCGAAAACAAAATATGAGGTGTCTTACCCTCAGAATTTTTGGTTTCTCTATAAAATGGTTGAACAACTTTTTTGACTTCCTGCCATGTCAAAAAGACAGTTCATCAACATTCAAATCCAGAAAGAAAATGGTTAATTGAGTTCATGTTTTGCTTCATTTACACGTTATTTCCGAACAAAACTAATTATTGTGAAGTGCAAGTTTTATAGTTGAAAAGTAATTATTAACCTTGAACCAATGCAACTCTCGTCTAAGTTGCATAGCTGCACCAGAATCAATTTTGAGTCTATCTTGAGGGGGCAAGCTTTCCAACAAAATGCAACATGTTATTTTCATCTTCATAAGCTGCTATCAAATCTTTATGAGCGCCAATCATGAATCAGATTAAAAATGTTTTCTTGACGATGCAACACTGCAATGTGAAATTTGCTTCGACTGTGATCATCTACTTTCCAAATAAGGTCAGGATACATCCGAATCAGCGCTTTTATGAATTCAACATTCCCTAACTCTGCAGCGGTAAACGACAGCCTTGAAGGTTTCCGAAGTAGTTCTCCAATTTTATAGTCATCTAGCAACAACACTTGCTCCCACAGTTGCTTCACCAATTCTAAAGCTTGAAGATGCATCAACTTTACATAAGTATTAATTGGAGGAAATTGAATGAAATTTGCAACAACATACCAGTCTGTACTGCTCGTGTGTTTGGTTCCGTAGAAACAGAAGGCATTTGATTGCTTGAATCATGAAGGGTCAAATTGATGGACCTAAAACGACATGGTCATCAAATCCTTTAGCTTCCAGAAAGTCTACTGGGCTTTTTACAGCTTGATGATGTGGTTGAAGATGAGAGTGTTGAATATCGGAGGCAAAATTGAAAGAAGATTCATAATGGCCATGATCAAATGTTGCTGGCCCAAAAGCATCTTTCAGGCTCAAGTCATCGTCAGAAAATATGGCTAAGCTTGTATCATCTTCCCCAGAAGACTTGCAAGTGGAATTTGCAACAGATTTGATCTCAGGGAAACGAGATTGAATTGAAAGTCCCCTCCCATATTGTGATGAAGGAAGGTTGTTCAATATCATTATCTTCAATGAAAATTACTGCCTGAGAACAAGCAAAATCAGTAGTATAACAAAAAGAACAACAAAAGAATGTGGTGCTTTATTAGGAGTTAGGACATCACTGTTTCTAGTTTTGAGCAGCTCAATCAGATAAAAGAGTTTAAACCTCCAAGCAACTACAACCAAGAACAAGATGAATTATAAATCAAAACATGTAGTGCCGTAAAATGATTGGAATGTCAAAAGCAAAAGTTGAAACAAAGAGTAAAGTTAGTTTCTTTTGTTTGAAAACTAATGGTTGCGATCTTCTTCCACCAACTTCACTAACGCTGCCTCGTTTTCTTGTGGCTCTTAGTTATTAAAATCTTTAGGAACTGACTTGACCCAGGGATGCAATTGGATTGATCAACGCCTTCACACTAAACTTTATTCATATAATAGAAAAAACTGACACAGCTGCCTTCTGAGAAAGTTCAAAGCGGGATATTAAGAGATGGGACCGCTTGGCTATTTGTTCTAGTTCTGCCATTTGCATTGACTGGAAAAGTCTCTTACGGGGATATTTCTATGGTCCAACCCGTTGTAGGTATGTAATTCATTGACAATTGAAGTACATAAGATCTAGCTATTTGCATGTACCTCGCTTCCTTTTATTGCATACTTTATTCTATTAAATCTAATGTTGAATGATGAAGCACAAAACGGTGTCGCTAGACATTACTTAAACGATGCCGTCTCATAATAAAGCTCCAAGATTGATCATGATCGTTGATTGCTTACTAAATCTAATAGCCAAGGTTCTTCAACAGTGTAAGTATAAAAGAATACCCTTCAGTCGAATTACACAACCTTTACACACTGTTTTTGCGATTGAGTTCTTCTTTGTTAGGGTTTCTAATTTCTTGTTTCTCATAGACTTGTAATGTGGTGCGATTGTTGTAATCGTGTTAGACGGTTGTCTTTCCTTCAAGTTGTAAGGATCTAAGTTAGTATTCTCATACAAGAAAGATTACAAGTTGTAAGGAATTTGATTAACACTCCAAGTCACACAATAAAAATGTCCAACAATGTAACCTACCGTAACCACAACATTACCACTTCATTATGCTATAAAAGAAATCACATTATTGCATAAATGCCATATGGCCAAAATTTTGATTTGTGAAAAGTCCGGAACAAATTCTATATTGCAATAATCAAGATAAATGAGCAGTTTGAAAATATATCATAAAAATCCTTTAGCGTCAGAACACACTGCAAATGATTCTTTGGCAAAAGGTGCTAGTAAGTATAAGAATATATTATGAAATTATATCAAATTCAACTTGCTAAGAAATTATTTAGTAATAGCAGGTTTGCAAAAATGGTTTCTGAAACAAAAGGAAAAATTAAAACTGAAAGGTTAAAGTGCAAATTTTCATATCTGTTCGCGCTCCTAATCACAATTGTCATGTAAACATATATTTCAACTATAAAACAAAAAACAGTAACTTATATATTTAGGCATGCTGAATATGTCAAAGGTTAAAGGAGACTAACACAAATTGACACATTGTTTCCAAAATCCTTGCTGAATTTGAGAGGCAATAGGCGTTCCAGCCAAGGCAAGCAATGCTGTCTCCTCATTTCCATCACAAGCGACGGCTAACTCTGGGTGTTTCTCTAGCAAATCCAGTGCAACATCTGAGAACACAACAACCATCATTAGAGATGATATAGTATCAATTCTAAATAGTGGAAGTATGCAGTTGCTATACATAATACTATATTAATTATGTTTCATAAAAGGAAAATTTTCAGATTTGTATTCACCAAGCCACTTGTGTTATGAAAGGGTTCTTTCATTAGTTTTGTCAAATCATATGTCTCTTGATGGGAATTCACAGTGTTCCTTAAAAGAATAATGGGAGATTTGTTAAAAAATATACAAGGTAGGATATATTAATCTGACCACCATACATGGAATTTCAATCCTATACCAAAGGTTTCAATCTTACATTGTAAAATTCAATTTAAAAGATATCAAGTGTACTACAATTAGCCAAAATATAAAGAATACCTTTTACATAACATACAAACCGTTGCTTATTAGAGTGATAAGCAATTCAATGCGGTCATTGTCATATAATGACTTGTCATCAGTGGCTTCATAAAGGAACTATACCATTTCTTTATGGCCAAACAAAGCGGCCATGTAAAGTGGTAACATCTCATTTCTACCGCGGATCATTGCTAAGTTTCTACTCCTTTCCAGGACATAAGCTAAGTTTGTACTCTCCTCTATCATGTTGGGAAGTTCCACCTTCTGGGACTCAACAGAGAGACAATAAGCTGTTTTTCCAGCTCCTTTCTTTGTAGTTAAATCCTCTTTTTTCATCTTATTCATCATCACTTGAGCAAGTTCCACATTTCCAGACACAGCAGCAAGACAAAAAGCTGTATTGCCTGCATTATTTGTAGTAGCTAAATCCTCTTTATTTATATTATCCACCAGGTTTTTCAAAAAATCAGTTTGCTCTGCTGCAGCTGCAATATGGAGAGCAGTGTCCCCTTCCTTTGATATCCTCGCTCTTATATCATTTTTATGTTTCTTGTAAATACCCTCAGCCATGCTCCAATCACCACTTAGTGCAGCTTGATACAATTTTAAGTGTCTAATTCTTGTTTGCTTGTCTGTCAAGTGGAAGCATTTATAACAAGTTTTATCATAAATCTGTGATTCTTTAAAATAGGCATATAAAAAAACACTATAGGCACCAATATCAATTCATATTCAATAGTAGCTAATATCATGCCTTTGGAAAACAGTTTCTTGCCAAGTTGCCAAAGTGATTGGTAATGAAGCTAAAAGATTTTCCCCAGGGTAAACAATCCATCTGAAGAGAAACAATAGCATAGGTATAACACATTGTAAAATCTAAGCATACCAGCCAATTGACCATAAGGTGAAGAATGACAATTTCAACTTCTTCATTTGAACCATTTCCGGATGCAAAGGTATCCTCATGATTTCAATAGTCGGCATTTTTTGTAAACCTATAATGAACTTTATATTGTTAGATAAGTTGAATTGGATAGATTTCTCTTTTATTACAAAATAATACTTCCATCAAATTTTTAAATAGTAATTGATTTATCAAACATTTAGTTAACATTACCATATATAATGAACGATGTAGATAATATCATAAGAGAAACAAGAGTGTTGCATTAGTTATCATATCCATAGTATAAAAGAATCGTAAAGCAGAAGAAGACATTAGATGCATTTCATCAAATAATGATAATCTTAGAATTTCAGGATGTCATACTATTTTGATGTTTTAGTATAACTTACAGTTATATTACTGTAGTTCTACACAACTACAGAGTACTTAACAATGTAAACCGGTGCTTTACATGTTTGAGGTATTGACAATGACCTCCCTGATCGTTGGGGAAAGGTCTAATAGATCCAAAAGCATTTTAATGTAGAAAGACCTCCCTTCAAGTTCATTAATTAATGAAAAATTGTCATCTTAAATCATCTTAATAGCCCTCAAATTTTTCTTTACATTGTAATAATTAATAAAAAGCCTTGAAAGGAGGCTCCTTACAATTTAACAACTTTATGTTCCAGCTAAATATTCCTCAAACCTCAGGGAGGGATGGCAAATTACCTTAGTCTAAACTTTACTTCTCCCCACTGCACGATATTTCGATCTAGATGATAAAAAGTTTCTGACCTTCATAAACTGCACATTTTGCACAGGCAAAATTTAAGTGTAAATTACTGGGGTATACAAAAAGTTGGACAAATATTGCATAAATTTAAGGATTCAAGGAAAATTCTACAGAAAATGAAAAAAAAAAAAAAAAAAATTGTTTGAAACTTTTTGCCCTTGGTAAGACTGACGAGTATCCAAAGCTATTGACAATGGCAGTCCTAAAACAACCAAAATGGAACTTGACAAAATAAAACAAAAATATACATTAAAAAGAAGAACTGGTTTCAAAAAGCTTACCTTTTTTACGGCTTAAGATGCAATCCCCCGCTCGAAATGGGAAAATGAAGAAAGAAAAGCTTCAAGTGAAGAGCAAAGAGGAGAATAACAAGGCTTAAAGCTGAGAAAGACGGAAGTAAAGTAGTGGCAGAGAGAAGAACAATCACCACTCAAACAGAAGTCTCAGCAGCTCTACTTTGTAGCAGCTCTCTCTCTCTCTCTCTCTCACCCAAGACCAAGAACTACACAGTAGCCATTCACAGAGAGAAAAGGAACACCCTTTACTGATAAACCCTCTGTTTTCAGTATATTACATCTGTACCACTGAAACTTGCCCAAAAATCTATATTTTTTTTACAATAAAATATTCATGTAACTTTTGAGTCCGATGCTATACTTGTTTCTTCCACCGCACAAATATGGAAACATTCTGATCGACTCATTAATTTTGACTCTCCAAATCGCACTACGCATGATCACAACAACATCTCTGCAGATCTACATATGAGCTTTCATCCTGTTCGCCCAGACCAACGCCGTAAACTTCTCCACCGCTCTTCGCACACCTTCTTCTTCGACCCCTGCTCTCGGCATATCGCGGCGTTCAAGCGCCAAAATCTCGACCCACTCGCCGATGTCGTTCACTGAGTCCGACACTGACTTCGAGCTTCAGTCCCCTTACGTTGAGGAAACGCTGTTCTGCTTTTGGATTAAAACTTGAATTTTGCTATTCAATTCAGTTATCAAAATGGAGGATACCTTTTTCTGAGGGAATGTTTATAAAGTTAATGGTTTTATTATTATTATTAATTGGAATAAAAAGGTTTTAGTTTTAAGTACAATTGTTATATTTAACAGAGCATGAGCAAGTAGTGCGGAAAGAAATAGACCGAGGATCAACTGGCTCGGAGAAATGAGGAAATTAAGAAGCTTAAAGCAGTTATTGATTCTGCATTGAAGGATTTGAGCAATGTAGTTACTCGTTTAAAGGAAGTTTCTCCTTGTAATGAAGAAGAAGATGGAAGAAAAATATCTCAGCAGCCGATATCCCCTGAAGTGAAATCAGCTAACAAATGTGAACCACAAAAAGTTGAGCCAAAAACACCTGAACTAAGAGCAACAGGAAAACGCAGAAACGATATATGGGGACGGTAAAGTGGTGATGATTCGTTGCCACCTTCGAAAAAGTCCGCCGGAGCACAGGTCGTTCCTTTCCTTAGTTTTAGATTTTCTCAAGTGCTTGGGGGTTCTCTATGGAGTTTGAAGTCTTTTTGCTATAGAGGATTTTCTCATTGTACTTTTACTTAGTTTAAAGCAATAATGTTGGCTAATGTACCTCGCATCAGTTACTTATCGTCGACTCGTTGAATTCACACCAAACACAAAATAAAATTATAAAATTCATGTCTTTTTTTTCTCAAATTAAAATATAAAATTAAAAAAAAAAATTTAATCATAAAATAAACTAAATTAAAATAAGCAATACATATATCTAAAACTAATAAAACATAGAAAATAACTAATTGTTGCATCTTGAAAAGTAAAAGTTTTAATAATTTCAGTCTTAAAAAGATCAAATAGCATGAGAAAAAGAGCTAAAGATGAGAGTAAAGAGTTATTGACTTGTTTGCAAATGACAATTAAATAAGTAATCACATGGAGTTTATGTCTTGTTTAAATACGTAGTAAACAATTTATGGTAATTCACAATTTAAATTTATTGATATAAGTAATGCATGTGACATGTATACTAATTTTTGATTAATAACAGATGAGCTGTCTTATAATACCACACAAGATGAGTCACAAATTATTAGGACTTATCTCATACAAAATGAATCATATAATTAATCACAAAATTTTATGGTTGACATTATACATTTATAAATACAAATTTGAATTTATGAATGGTGATTGATGCCATTTGCTTATTTCATGGCAACTTTCTTGTTCTCTCTCAATATATGTTGAAAGTTTAAGACTACCTAAGTTCATTTAAAACTACCTAAGTTCATTTAAACATATGCGAAATAAGTTGATTGAGTTCATTTGTGCTTATGGGAATGATCATTCATCATCAACACATTACCAATCATTAAGGACATAAAGTAAAGCACATAAGAGGTTTTTACATGGTTCGGCAAATTGCCTACATCCATGGGATTGTTCAAACGAAGCAAATCCATTATAACAAACATTCAAAATTCATTACAAAGTCAAAGTTAAGCAAAACAAATGTAAAACACTCCCTGTTTCATAACACTCTAACTCCACCCTTTGGTTGATCCAATGTTTTGTCACAGCTTGCTTGAATCCAAGAAACCTCTTGAATAGCTCAAGCTCCACTCAAGCTTCAAAAGCCAAAGACAACCTTCAACTCCACAACTTGAAATCCTTAGAAGCTTTCATCAATGTAACCATGTTCCAACAACACTCAAACAACAGAGTTAAGATAAGTATTTTGAGCATTAAAAAAAAAAAAATGAACCTAACCTAAAATGAATAAACTCTCTGAAGAATTTCGGAGAACAACCAAAGGAATATTAATGTTTAACCGTAAATGCAAAGATGAAGAAGATAATATAGAATCCTTGCTCAACGATCCCCTAAACATCCAGCTGACAAAGTCTTATTTTAGGAAAGTTTTCCATCTAGCTGACAAAGCCTTACACATGTTTGGCCATTTTAAGAAAGTTTTCAATAATTTGTTAGGACCACTTCTAAAAAGGCAAAACAAATTTCCATGACCACATTTGAAATGCTTGACACTTGTATTTGGACATAACAACATCTGTACTAAAGGTCTGACTGGACAACTAATTACACATCTGATTGTAATGTATTCACATGTTTTGTGAGAAGATAAGATTAAGAAAATGTGCACACATTTATGCAGAATGTTATGGCGCGTAAACCATGGACACAAATTATGCTTAATCAAATAAATGTGCAAACATCGTATGGTTGTCAATATTATTAACTCATATTAATGGAGGCTGACATTAGGGAGTTATATGTTACCCTAACGATCTTTTCAATCCATCTATTAAAAATTAAAACCTCACGGTGCTCAATATTATCAACTCATATTTATAATTACAGTTTTAGATTTTGAATCAATATTATCCTGTTCTTTGGTCATAGAACAAAGGTAGCGGACCATTAAATTCTCTGTGGCCTAACATAAGGGGTTGCTTCCACTTTGCCTTGAGTCGGTGGCAACTTTTTGCTCTTGTTAACCATTTTGATCCTAGATGCTGCAGCAAAACGGGGAGTTGTGTTCCACTATCTTATTAACCTTTTCTAAGTTTGAAGCAACACCTTTATGTATTAAGGTAATATAATACTTAAACTTCACACCTTTATTCTGTGAAGTTTAATCAAGATTGTAAAAGAAACAAAACTCCTGGGATTGAATACAGATAAGAAAAACAGGAGAAGATTATTTATTTTCACTTGACTGAGAACATCTTTTATATTACAAAGACAGCAATCCAAGTGAACCTTGATCTCAACCGTTGGTTCATACAGCAAGAAACACAAGTTGACTGTGAGCTATTCGTAGGATCTATTGTGCTTTCTGCACTAGTGAATTAGCAGGGCCCTTTCACCAAGAAGATGACAGGTTATTTAACGGGAAATATTTGAACTAACGCTTCCAGTAATAGAGTTAGAAAACCAAAGCTCTGAATTACAACTTAGACGTTAACGCCTGTTTCTTTTACCAACGGTAGCTTAATAACTTTGAACCTGTATGAGAAAGTTTGTATGAAAAATTTGTAAATGTAGTCTTATTCAAAAAACAGCTTCATCACTCTTGAAGTTCCATTCATTCCTTTAACTACGGAGCCTATGTTTAATACCCCTTTTTTTTTTAATGGAATTTTATTAAATCTTATTTTGTGATTCTGGGGAGTAAAGTGTAAGAATTTGAAAGTTTTGGGGAGAAAAGGCGAAACAAGTGGGGGCTAAATTAAAATTTTCTAGATATTTTGATGCAGTCACCATTCAATGAAAACAAAAACGGAGAAGAAGAAGAAGAAGGAAAAGAGAGGAAAAGAGAGAGGGAAAAGGAGAGAAAGAAAAGAGAGGAAAGAGAGAAAGAAGAAGAAGAGAATGAGAGAAAAAAGAAAAGAAAGAAGGGAGAGAAAGATGAAACCGAGAATAGAGAGAGAAGAGAAGAGGGCGGCGGAGGGGGCTAGAAAAGTGGCCACCGGCAAGCTAAACTCCGATGATTGGAGAGTGAAGGAAGATCAAGGATATGGGAGGTGAGTAAAGCATGATATTTCTCTTTTCGGTGATTTATGATTCAATTGGTTTAAAGAACTCTATTTGGATTGTTTTGTCTATGATTTGATATAAATTCATGAAAACAAAACTGAAATGTGGAGATTGATTGCAATACTTTAGGTGGGTAGAGCATATATGTTGTTCCAACTCAGTTTGTTATAGATGTGATTTTGGGTATGGAAGTTTACACTGTGAAGCCTGACCATTTGGACTTTCGAAAAATTTATCTAAACTCTGGTTTTTCCGTTGGAGCTCAAATCCGAATATGTTGTTTTAGACTTCTTGAGGAGTGTTTGAAAAATTATTTCACTCACAAATTCGAATTATTGGATTTTTTATAGATTTTTGAATTCTGCCCTGAAAATTTTGGAATTTTCGTTTTCTGCAGAACATGTATTTTTGGAAAATGATTTGATGCAACTATTCTTATCCAAATTGAGTGATTTTAAATTTTGGTGAATCCTATATGGATCTAGTTTAATTCTGCAGAGTTTCATGAGGTTTAGATTAACGGCTGAATTGTTATGAATTGTTATGCAATCAACCAAGATACAACCAGAAACAAGCAAAAAAATAGAAACCACAAACAATCAACGCTGGATCTTTACCGTGGTTCACTTGCCCGATTTGAGCAAGCTACATCCACGTTGAACTCTGGAAAGGGAGTTCGCTACACTATGATTATAGAACAACCAATTACAGTCACGATTACAAAGAATGACACCCAAGACCCTAGATCAAACAACTCTGATTCAAACCCGTAATCTGCCCTAGGAATCCTCTAACCTGGAAATCCCTATAACAAGAACACAGTAGTTCTTCCCTTGATTGATTTAACCCAAACCACTCAAGAAACCCACAGATTACACTGAAATCATACCCAAAAGAAAGAACCCTAATCTCACAAAAGAAAACGAAATATGGCTCTCAACTTTTATGTTTTGATCTACTGTTACAATAAGAAACCCTAATCCTTTTATAGTGTTGACTGGAGGCTTGATCTTAGCCGTTGGTTTTTCCTCTGAATCAGCGGTCAGGATCATCTTGGAGCTATCTCACAACGACATCGTTCCATTAATACTCAGTACGACGCCGTTTTAGCATTCACTCACAACATGAATTTTAAAAGTCAGTAACCTCAATTCTGGAAACAGTTGACAGATTTGAATGAGTTGAAAGAAAATTGTGTTTTAAATAGTTATTGATTCTAGAATGACTCGAGAAAATTATGGGAACAATTTATGTGTCTCTAGAATGCCCAATTAAAATTATGGCTTAAATTTATGAATGAAATTTTTATGAAAAATTCGAGAGCGATTGATATTCGGTTAAGAGACAGTTTTGTTAAAGAAGAAGTTATGTTAATCTTTTAGTGTGTGAAGTGTCCAATGATTTTAATATCGAGGTGTTACCTTATGCGGACTTATGTATAGAGGATTTTATTTCATCATATGTTTCATAGTTGTGTTTATTTTCCGCTGTAAAGTTTATGTTTCTTCATCATATATTTATTTGATGTTTTAGATTGTAAAAGATATAGAAAAATCTGATACCATACGTTCATTTTGTAAAAGAAAATTCAATTATATTTATTTATTTGCGAATGACGGTATATTTATTTGTGAGAAACAAAAAGTAGTGTTTATAAATGTTTTAGCTAGAAGAGTTTTATAATGTTTTAATTCATAAACAGGTTTTCATCGTTTTCCCACATGGCATGTCTCAGTCACTCGAGTCTCATAAGTGCGCCCGGAGCCTATGGGATAGGGAGGGTCGGGATGGGTAGTGTCACTGGGCCTCTTCTGGAATGAAGTTTGAATGCAGCTAGCACACTGTCCTCAGCATATTCACTGAAATATCAAACTGCCACTTCTAGTTATAGAATTGAAAATTCAATCATAATAAGATCAATAATCAATCTAGTTAGTAAGAAATGGTTCTAATAAGACAGAATATATTACATTATGTAAAATAAATAAATAATGTCACCTGTTTTCATTGACGGCATGTAACACTTCTCCATTGATAGTCAAAGTTTTACCCACGTACATTAACGTTGTGAAAACAACCATTACCGCTAAAAGAACAGGCACCCATAGCCACCCATCTTTGAAGACAATGAACATAGTTGTAGAAAACACTACCATCATTGCTTCTACGGAGTATAGAAGTGAGAACATGGCACGAGCGAAATCACCACCTATCCGCCAAAAGAAATCTGCTTCTTCACATCGGGAAGAGATAACCGATAAGAACATCGTTATGGAGTAAGAGGACAATAGTAATGTAATAACTACTTTCTACTCAAATACTCATATGAAATACATATAAAGTAATATAAAGAAATTGGGCCCAAATTTTCTTTTTTATTAAATATACATATACATTCTTTACAAACATATACATTTTTACCCAAAATTATACTATGTACAAAAGTCATTAAAAACATGGTAGACAGTGTAACCGCTTCCCCTCGAGCGCCGATGTCCATTCGACCGTGTCCTCACCTAGATCCTGCAAAACATAGGAAAAACAACGGGGTGAGCACTAAAATAATGCTCAGTAAGTAAATCCTCTACTCATCTATCCCCATAGCTCTCTTTCTCTAATACTTTCCTTACAACTCCTCATTCAGTTTCTCTCTTTGGTACCTCTCTCTCTATTTCTCTTGGTACCTCTCTCTCTATTTCTCTTTCTTAGAACTCTTTTCTATTAACTCTCTTTAGTAAGTCACAACCCCATCTTACTGGGGGCACAGCCGGGACTCGCTCCCACTCTATGTGACCTCTACTCATTCTAGCCGATCGGACTCAGTTATGCATGGATTCGGAACCCTTGGCCATGTGAGTGTATAATCTCTCTCTCGGGTACTCGGGTATAGCCCTCATCAGCATGTACTCTCACGGGAACACCACTTCTCTTTCTCATACTCTTGCCGCTCTCTCTCAATGCGGCGTACATGCGGGAATACTATACCCATTACTCACGGGTTCCCCATCGCACAACCTACTCTATTCTCTCTTTCTCTTAGCTCTTAAAGTAGCTTATACTCAATTTCTCTACTATGTCTCAAGCTACTTCTTAAGTGCATAAACAATGTGTATGGATAGCTCATGCTCACTAATGCACTAATGAAATGCCAAATACAAGATTGCCTCAAAACAGCTATTCTGCATATGTCACACTAAAAAGGCCATAACTTGAGTTATACACCTCGGATTGCTACAGTTTTGGTCTCGTTTTAAAGCTTAGAGACAGGACTATAACTTTGATGTTTTAGTCTCAGTCCAGTTCAATCCGTAAGATGCCCAAAAATCACTTAGAAAGTCACAGTAATGACAGGGCAGATTTCACCTAGGCATTTCCTCAAACAACTCATGTGCATAACAAAGCTCTACTTATCTATAACTCTACTCTTCTCTTTAACAATCCAAAATGGAAGGAAAAATCCCTCATACAATCATAATTCCTGCCAAAGAAAGCACTCCCAAAAATATTCATACACTACTCCTCCAACTTCAACTCAATTTCACTCTCTCACCACACATTAAAAACACTTCCAATAATTTAATCATACCCAACAATTAGGACTAAGCACACATCTCATCTCAATTTTCAGTAGGTATAACATATACATGCATAGTTAAAATAAATATCTACTCAAAAGCTTATTCAAAACTCAACTTGGTTGGATTTACTTACCTTGTGAAAAAGTGGCTTCTCTAGCACTTTTCCTTTCCTTTGTTGTCTTGTCTTCTCTCTACAACTCAAAACAACAACAAGAACAACCAAATAAGACTTCACTATAACTATAAGAAAACTCACATCTAAAGCATGAATCCTTACCTTAGGATGCTTTAGATGAAATCTCTACCAAAAATTACTCAAAAGCTCTCTTAAACCCCTTAGAAAACTTGGAAGATTGGAGGAGAAATTGGGAGAAAAATAGGCAATGGAAGAGGCGGTGGAATGGATAGACTAAAGGGTTTCTCTACACTTAACCTTTTTTAGCTCATATTATAAGCATCATTTCCCATTTTGCCCTTGTCCTTCCTTGAAAATTCCATCTATATCCTTTGATTCTTTACAAATACAATCCCATCCAAACACAATCTCTACTAAATTTCCTTACATTTTACTCCCCACTTTTCCTACTAATTAGGGGTAGAATGGTCATTGTGCCCCAAAAGAAGAATTCTCCAGAAAACTCAAGAAACTTTTTATTAGGCTCGTTGCTGCGGCGAAGAACTTTATGTCGCTCTAGCAAAAAAAGGCAGAACCTACTCGTGAGTGCAGCTCCTCCTCGCCGCGGCGAAGCTTCTTCTTCGCCCCGGCGAAGATTGGATTCCCAAACTTCAACAAAACTCAACCAAAACCAAGGCAAACATACCGATTCAATTAAAGGCTAACCACAACAACATACAAACTCAATTGAAGCTGAACAGTGAATCCTTTAAGTAATACAGACAATCTTAAGTACGTACCTCAAGTCGGGTGTTACAAGTAATGCTATAGTATCTGATATTGCAAAAACTATGAAGGAAGCTCTTCGCAAAAAATTTGGAGTCCCTATATTTTCCTTGGTACCACCTGGTACAGTGAAAAGTGCAGCAAAGACCACGGTGGCAATAATTGCTAACACCATGATGCAGGCATTTGCAGTCTTCTTGGTCCATTTATCAGCTTTTTCCCTTAACTCTTTGTACTGTTCAGTAAATAAAGCTCTAGGAGTTTTCCTTTCATTATTTTTAGCTTCAGCTACCACTGGATGTAAAATTCTCTTCACTCCCTACAATACTTAGGAAACATCTATCAGTCAAGAGAAATAAATATGATTTTTTCGAACCAAAGAGGGGAGTAAATTAATATTCACCTCGAACCACCATATCTCCCTTTCCAATAGACAAGTTACTACAGGCGATTCAATATCAGGTGTATCTACTGGTGGCAACTTTGCAGCCAAATGCAAGATATTGTTCCCTTCTTTATCTGTGTTTCAAACTAACAAATCCTTAAATGGACCAATGTGATACATGGCGTTGAAAATGTTATGGCGACGATACCTAACAGCAACATGAAGTATGGTGTAATTATTTTCATCAACTTCAAACATTAGGTCAGGATATCTGGAGAAAATTATGTCTAGAAACCGATGGTTTCCTTATTTTGCAGCCTCGAATATTAGGGACCAAGGTTTTCTAATAATTTCCAAAATCTGGGAGTCATCCAAAACCAAAAGCATAACTTGTTTCCAAAGACATTCGACTAGTTCAAAAGCTGAATCGGGAATCTCTTGACCAGTATCTGAAACAAAAAGTTTAGTTTAACCAAAGCCAACATTAGTTTCAGAAAGTTGAGGATGAGGAAAATACTAGAGAGGAACTTGATTTATCTTCTTAACGAAACACTGAAAATGCTCATCATAGACAATAATTAACTTTTATTAACTGAAATTTAATTCTATATTTTAATTTACACGAGAATTTTCATTTGTATTTAATATTGGGGTGATTCTATTATTGCACCCATAAATATTAAATACCTCCATCTTCACTATTTTTATACCTAACTGTTAAAAAATAATTAAAAACCTCATCAAAGCTAAGGTATTTAAAAAAATAAAAAATAAAATAAATTGAAGCAAATACCCACAATGCACTTGACTTTGTGCCTCATAAGCTCGATACCTCCAGCCCAGCCTTTTCCTCCTCCTTTGCTTTTTCTCATTAATATGTTGCTCCTTCTCATTCATTTGATCCCCTAAGCTCAGCTTATTCCTCTCCTTCACTCGCTGCATCCTAAGCATGGACTGACATCTCTTTATCACGTCTCTTTTTACATCATTATCTGTTTTAAAACAAAATGAAATTAAACACATTTTCTCTTACTTACAATTATATATATTAATATTATGATTAAAAAAAAAAAAAAAACCAATTAAGGCAATCTGAAATTTATAATGATTAGAGAGAACTAACACAGGTAGATGGCTGATTTCTTGCAAATTTTAATGGCGTTGAAGTCTAAAATACGCGTCAACACAGGTAATCGTGCCAAGCGATGCAATGCTGTCTCCTCATTTTTATCACGTGCAAGAGCTATCTATGGGTGCCTCTCCACCAAATGTAATGCAACATCTAGGAGAACAGTGATCACCATTATAAATTATATAGACTCAAGTTTACACTTTGGATTCAGATATTTGCTAGCCCGGATATAAATATAAATACAAACCATGGTTTATCAGTTATAATTAATACTACTTACCATACCAGCCGCGGTTTATGAGGCTGATAAGCAATTCGATGAGATCATTATCATGATCTAATATCACATCAGCAGTGGCTTCATAAAGGTATTCTACCGTCTCTTTGTCTCCAATTAGAGCTGCCTTATGAAGCGGTAAAATATCATTGGCCCCTCTAATCTTTACTCTGTCTTCATTCTTCTTCATCATAGCCTTGAAAATTTCAACCCTCTCGGACGCAACTGCAAGAAAAAAAGCCGTATTGCCAGCATTATTTTTTACGGCTAAATCCTCTTTATTCATTTTTTCAAGCAGCTTTTTCACAAAACCAGTGTGCCCTGCTGCAGCTAAAATATGGAGAGCGGTGCTCCATCCTTTGATAGCTTAACTGGTATATCAATATCCTCTTCCTTGTAAATTCTTTCAGCAGTGTTCCAATCACCTTCCAATGCAGCCCTGTACAATTTGAAGTGCCTACTTCTCCTTTCAATTTCTGTCAAGTTGAAAAAAGAACATGTTTATGAATAAATTTTTTGCTACACATAATGAAAGGGATGCTATAGCCTATAATCAATATAATAGAAAAGACTTTACCTTTTCAGAATGAGATAGAATTTTGCAGCAGCAGCACTGTTTCTTCTTCTATCGTGGAAGAGCCCACTGATACATTCACATTAAACTCTGATTATTAAAATTAAGAGAAGATAATGAAGTACGGTTAACAAAGGTTACAGGTAGGTTTTTGATATATAAAAAGTTTATTATGTTAACTTTGTAATTCCTCCTCATAAATTTGAATAGGCCATTATAACCTATTAAAAGAAAACTTTTTTTTTTTTAAATTATGTTTAAAAAAACATTTATGGATAGATTTTTAGCCATAAATAAATAAATGAATATATATATATATATAGGAAATAATAAATGCAATAAATGACATCAATATATGCTGGTGAACATATCAGGACGTTCTATAAAATAAATAAAATATATAAGTTTTAATGCATGTACTATAGAGTTGTATCTTGTGTGCTAATACGAATCTTCTATCTTTATTTTGTTTGAGTCTCACACTAACTAGGTATACTCAAGTTTACTAGTTTATAAGAGGTGATAATTCTCCCATTCAACAAGACCTTATTAGGTGAGGAGTCAAGTATACCTCAAATTCTATCATGGTATTCTTATTGGGTGAGGAGTCAGACCCACCTCAAATTCTATCATGGTATCAGAGCTAGACCCAATCAAGCTGAGTGTTTGACCAACGGGGAGAAGTTAGAGTTAGCAACTACCTGCATTAATAAGCATAACCTAATATATGAGCTTGACCTTGAGGGAGAGTGTTAGAATCCCACACTAACTAGGCACGCTCAAGCCTACTGGTTTATAAGAGAGGGTAATCCTCCCATTCAATAAAGCCTTATTAAGTGAAGAGTCAGATCTATCTCAAATTCTATTGTATTTCCTTAAAGAACAAAGAGCCTTAAAGTGACATATCAATTTTCCCCCAAAATTGAAAAAAAAAAAAAAAAAAAAAAAAAAGAAGGATATTCTTTGCCTTTGATTTATATGAATTTGATAATGACAAAAAAAATAAAAAATAAAAAATAAAAGTGTTTTACGATTGAGAGATTCAATTTCACACATGATTGTCTTAAGATGAGAAAGTCTTCGGTACATTTTGTTGTAATAAAAAAATCTAATGATTAAACAAATATATATATTTTACTTGGATTGATGTGATATATAAACATCGGCTAATTGTATTATACCATTATGTATATATATAATGCTTTCTTATAATATAGAGTGAATCAAGAATAGAAAGAGGGATTTGTGAAATTAACCATAATAAAATTTAGTATCTATTTTTAACCCTAGAACTTCATAAGCACTTCATAATTACATTAAATCAAGAGAGATTAATGGAAAAAAAATTAACGCGAACTTAGACACTAAATGATATTCAGAAAATGCATCTCAAAAAAACAGATGCAACAGTCATTGTAATGTCAAATCGTACCATCCATTTGTTTATTAGGTGGAGCAATCACAATCTCAACATTTTCTTCAGTTGAGGTGCTTCCTGAAGCAGCAACATAATCCTCCATGATTTATTTTCTCGTTTATTCGTGGTAAATCTACAATTAACTTTATAAGTGTTAGACAATGAATATTGCAGCATAATATCAACTTTATGTTCTAATTGGATTCAAATTGGGAATGAATATTAATTAGAATAATGGTCATTCATCTCAAGTACTTCAAGATCTTATATATATGTAGGATAATAAGAAAAATCTTAGCTACTATAATAAATATATATGCACATGCAGCAAACTGAAAGAACAAAAATAATGAGTCTAACTTAAGACTCTACAAATCAAAGAAGAAGAAGAAGAAGTGGGTTGAAAGACTTGCCTCTTTTGGCACCTTGGATACAATCTGCAGCTAGCTAAATTTATATTAAAAAAAAGGGCCTAAAGTGAAGAGTAAGAGAAGAATATAGGGCTCAAATGGCCTGAAGTGAAGAGTAAGAGAAGAATAGAGGGCTCAAATGGCCTGAAGTGAAGAGTAAGAGAAGAATATATTGCTCAAGGCCTCGTAAAGGAATTCATGAAGTCGAGCGGAGTCATAAATAACCTATTCTCTTTCAAAGTGAAGGAGATGCTAAATGATGAGAACATTTCCTAAAAAGAATTCCGGGATTTCTGCAATTTGTCTCTTCCTAAAGCAGAAATATTATGTCTAATTAAATTCCCATGCGGGATACATAAAGTGTTTGAGTGATTGAGCAATAGGATAAAATGTTGGGATTTGTTAATCATGATTTGATAAATTAAATGAATCTTGTTCATTACTCAGCATTTCCAATACATAATGAAAAGATTATTTTGCAATGAGCTAATACAAGTGATGATTTGAATTAGAAAAATTACTAAAATTATACAAATGACTAATCATATCAGAAAAAAGGGGGAATTGGAGCAGAGGAAACAGGGTGACAGGAACACAAGCAATAGTGGCTATTGGAATAGCTATCCACGAAAAGTCATCACTTAGAACAATGAAAAGAGTGGCTCCAAACGCTGCCATCATGGTTGCTATAGAGATGAAGAGAGTTGCAAGCCCTATTATCAGCCTGTTTGGTAATGAATGCAGAAAATCTTCTTCTGCATAGCGCGAGGTGAGAATGGAGAGAAACATCAATATTGAAGTGGTAGAGCAAAATAGTGCCAATGCATCCGATATGGCGAAAACCAAAAATGACCTGTGATGTAGAAAAACAGGCGTGCCTGTAACATTGTTATTTCCACCTGGTACAGTGAAGGCTGCAGCAAACATCACGGTTGCAATAAGTGTTGCAACAACCATACATGAAGATGCAGTGTCTTTCATCCACTTTTCCCCTTCACGAACGAGTCTTCTATGCTCCTCTGAAAACAAAATATGAGGTGTCCTCCCCTCGAAATTTTTGGTTTCTCTATAAGACGATTGAACAACTTTTTCAACTTCCTGCCATATCAAAAACACAGTTAATCAAGATTCCAACCCAAAAAGAAAATGGTCAATTGGGTTCAGGTTTTGCTTCATTTACATGTCATTTCCCAACAAAACTAAATACAGTGAAGTGCGAGCTTTACAGTTGAAAAGTAATTATTAACCTTGAACCAATGCAACTCTCGTCTAAGTTGCAGAGCTGCACCAGTATCAATTTTGATTCTGTTTGGGGGGGCAAGCTTTCCAGCCAAATGCAACATGTTATTGTTATTTTCATCTTCATAAGCAGCTATCAAATCTTTATGAGCGCCAATCTCATGAATCAGATTAAAAATGTTTTCTTGACGATGCAACACTACAATGTGAAATATGCTTCGACTGTGATCATCTACTTTCCAAATAAGGTCAGGATACTTCCGAATCAGCACTTTTATGAATTCAACATTTCCCAACTCTGCAGCTGTAAACAACAGTCTTGAAGGTTTCCGAAGTAGTTCTCCAATTTTATAGTCATCTAGCAACAACACTTGCTCCCACAGTTGCTTCACCAATTCTAGAGCTTGAAGATGCTTCAACTTTTTGTCAAGGATTGCCCTGAAACGTGGAACTGAATGTGCAGGACACAGTCACCTCTTTGTCCAAAATCTTTTAATTTTTAGAAGGAATAAATAAGCAGATAATGATTAATGCGCAAGAGTAATGGCCAGTAATGGAGTTACTAACAAGAGTTAATGCACCGCTGCCAAATTCCAAGCCGACTTCCACTTACAAACGCTGAATGCTTCCGTGCCAATACATGAAGAGCCGTCTCTCTTCTTCCATCTCGAGCAACAGCTAACTCAGGATGATGCTTAATTAAGTCCAATGCCACATCTGTCAAATTAACACAGCACAATCATCAATTTGCTTCTCTAGAAATTATAAATTAAGTTGCAACATGAAAATAGCAAAGGTAAGAGGTGGGTACCATAGAGGTCTGCATTGATGACAGCAACAAGAAGCTCAACACGATCTTCTTCTTTTAGATACTCTTCCTCGGTCACAGAATAAAGATACCAGACCATTTCTCTGTGGCCCAACAAAGCAGCCATACACAACGGTGTTGCTCCCTTACTGCCTCGAATTGATGGCAACCTTCTGTTCTTATTAACCATCACTTCTGCAATCTTTTTGATTCCGGATATGGCAGCGAAACAGAGGGCTGTGTTCCCAACCTTGTTCGGCAGTGCCAGGTCTTCAGCTTTCATAATGTTCACAAGCTCTTGGACAAATATTGTATGTCTAGCTCCAGCAGTAATGTGAAGAGCTGTTTCCTGGTTTCGTGTGATGCTAGCGCATACTGCTTGTGGATTCAAAATAAAAAACTCCCTTGCAAACTCCCAATCGCCTTTAAGCGCCGCATTATGCAGAGGAACAAAAGCAGTAAAGTAATTCCTTTGTACATCACCTGCAAAAAAGAAAAGAAAAAATTAGCAAGACCAGTCTAGATTGGAGAGCCATGCTGGAATATTTTTGTTTCTCTATCATATAATTTACATAAGTATTAATTGGAGGAAATTGAATGAAATTTGCAACAGCATACCGGTCTCTACTGCTCGTGCGTTTGGTTCCGCAGAAATGGAGGGCATTTGATTGCTTGAATCATGAAAGGGCCAAATTGATGGATCTAAAACGACATGGTCATCAAATCCTTAGCTTCCAGAAAGTCTACTGGGCTTTTTACAGCTTGATGACGTGGTTGAAGATGAGAGTGTTGAATATCAGAGGCAAAATTAAAGGAAGTTTCATAATGGCAATTATAAATGTTGCTGGCCCAAAAGCATCTTTCAGGCTCAAGTCATCATCAGAAAATATGCCTAAGCTTGCATCATCTTCCCCAGAAGATTTGCAAGAGGAATTTGCAACAGATTTGATCTCAGGGAAACAAGATTGAATTGAAATTCCCCTCCCATATTGTGATGAAGGAAGGTTGTTCAATATCATGATCTTCAATGAAAAGTACTGGCTGGGAACAAGAAAAATCAGTAGTATAACAATAAGAACAACAGAAGAATGTAGTGCTTTATTAGGACATTACCGTTTCTGGTTCTGAGCAGCTCAATCAGATAAAAGACTTTGAACCTCCATGCAGCTACCAGTCAACCAAGAACATGTAGTGCCGTAAAATGATTGGAGAAGTTTGGAATGTCAAAGGCAAAAGTTGAAACAAACTTCTTGTGTTGGAAAACTGATGGTTGCGATCTTCTTCCACCAACTTCATTAACGCTGCCTCGTTTTCTTTTAGCTCTTAGTTATTAAAATCTTAACGAACTGACTTGACCCACGTATGCAATTGGATTGATCAACGCTTTCACACTAAACTTTATACGTATAATTGAAAAAACTGACACCGCTGCTTTCTGAAAAAGTTCAAAGCGTGATATTAAGAGATGAGACCGCTTGGCTCTTGGTTCTTGTTCTGCCGTTCGCATTGACTGGAAAAGTCTCATACGGGGATCTTTCCATGGTCCAACCTGTTGTAGGTATGTAATTCAATGACAATTCCTTGGAATATTTTTACCTTCTCAAATCTCAACCTTTAACTCTGAGAGTATCAGATTCCATATAACAATAGAAAGTAAACTTGTGCAATTTTCTGGTCTAATCAGAACAATGTAGTAATGGAAAGTTAATTTTCTTTGGCACTTGACTTTTCTTACATTCAAAATCTAAGGATTACAATGCTAAGTAAATGCCATAATATCTTTCAAAATACGGTTAGAATTTGAAGCAAGGGCTGCTCGGCCCCTTTTATATAAATCACATAGTTGTCATTTAGATAAACAAGTATCTTAAAAGCATACATTTAGATTTCTATCCTAATTGTTAAGTACATTAATTTTCTTCATTGTCACTCAAAAGACCCTTCTTCATGTAAGGACTTTAAGACAAAACTGGTAGTCAGAAATTTCTGCATGAACTTGTAGACTGGCAGAGAAGCCATTATGGTGACAAGAGCGGGAACACAGAGCATCCCGTCTTTGAAGATGATGAACATAGTTGCAGAAAATACTACCATTATTGCTGCCACTGATAAGGCAAGTGTGTCTGATCCCACAGCCATATTATGAGGCAATAGTAAAAGGAAATCTTCTTCCACATATCGGCAATGGAAAACTGATAAGAAACTTAGAATGGAGAAAAAGAATAAAACTAGCGCTATAGCATCTGATACGGCAAAAATTATGAAGGAAGCTTTTCGAACAAAATTAGGAGTTCCAGTCTCTTCTTTGGTGGAACCTGCTACTGTGAAAGCTGCTGCAAAAACTACAGTGGCAATAATTGTTGCCGCCATCAAGCATAAATTTACAGTGTCCTTAATCCATCTCTCAGCTTCGTCCTTTAACTCTTTGTGCTGTTCATTAAATATAGCTCGAGCAGTTTTTCCTTCTTTATTTGTAGCTTCAGCATCCAATGGATGTAAAATTTTCTCCACGGCCTACAGAAGTTAGTTATGGAACATTTATTAATCAAGGACAAGAAATATATTGTTTTACAAAACGAAAGATTGAATTAAATATTCACCTTGAACCACAACAGCTCCCCTCGCAGTTTGGCAAGAACTCCAGCTGATTTGATATTGGGACTATCAGATGGTGGCAACCTTGCAGCCAAATGCAAGATATTGTTCCCTTCATTATCTTTGCTCTGAAGAACCAAATCCTTCAATGAGTTTATCTCATATATGATTTTGAAGATGAGTTGGTGACAATACAGAACAGCAAAATGAAATATGCTGTAGTTATTTTCATCAATTTCGAATATCAGATCAGGATAAGCATCCAGGATTAACCTTAGAAACTTAATGTTTCTTCGTTTTGCTGCCTCAAATATCAGTGGCCAAGGTTTTCGAATAATATCTAAAATGTCAGAGTCACCCAAAAACATTACAAGGCACCGGACTAGATCAAAAGCCGAGTCGGGAGTCTCTTCACCAGTCACTGAAACAGAAAGTTTGGTTAAGCCAACATTAATTTGCAGAAAAATCAGTAACTTTGCTGAATACATAATATAATTAAGTAAATAAAAACCCCTCATCCAAAAAAAATAAAAAAAATAAAACAAGAGTACTCGCGAGTGAGGTCCCTCATCCAAGACCTCCAAGTCAGACTTCTCCTCCACTCTTTCTCTCTCTTCTTAAACTGAACCCTCCAGCCCAGCTTATTATTGCTCCTCTGTTTCTCCCTTTCCTTAACCCACAGCCTCCCCCATGCTGAATAAAGTGTCTCTATCATGTCACTTGTATTTTCAATAACTGCTTTGACAACAAGAAAGCACATTGTTTCTTACATACAATTGCTTTTGATTGTGAAAACGGATAATTTAGTGTCAAAATGAGAAAGCATTGTTTGGTGTTTTAGAGTATGTGGTGGTGAGTTACAAAGTTTAATAGCTCATAGATGTCAGATGGAAAAACAAATTTCGTGATAGAAACCACAATAGGAAGTCAGAATAAATCAAGGCATGCTGAAGGCATTAAAGATAAAAAAGAACTAACATATGTTGAATAATCTCTTCAAAACTCCAGCCACTGGTCGATCAAGAAAACGCATCAATACAGGCATGCGAGCCAAGGCATGCAATGCTGTCTCCTCATTTTTATCTCGTGCAGTGGCCAACTCTGGGTGCCTCCTTACCAAATTGAATGCAACATCTACGAAGAAAAACAATCATCATGAATAATATCAACTAGATCCAACCCATCTTTAAAAAACCTATTTTTTTTTAAAGGAAACACCTAGAATACCAAGAAAATATAATGTCAGTTATTTATGCCATTTATTATCTTTCTCTGATGTCATTTATCTTTATGGTACATTGATAGTGATTAAGTTGAATATCTATGTGTAATCTCGTAGTATTATATATTCCCTCTTTATATAGATAAGGATTTTTTTATTAATTAGATCTATCAAATCATTTGACGGTTGGTAAGAAAATCATAATCTTCTCAGCCAAAAGATGTTGAGAATGACTTAGTTTAGCCAAAAAATAAAAGATAGGACTTACCATACAACCTACGGTTTATCAGACTGACAAGGAATTCGATGAGATCATTATCATGATCCTAATATTGTATCCAGTGGCTTGATAAAGGTATTCTACCATCTCTTCGTTTCCCATAAGAGCTGCCTTGTGAAGTGGTAACATATCATCCTTGCCTCGAATCATCACTAAGTCTCCATGTTTCTCCATTATGGCCTCAGCAATGTCAACCTCTCCGGAGGCAGCAGCAAGAAAAAAAGCTGTGTTGCCAACATTATTTTTGATAGTTAAATCCTCCATTTGGATCTGTTCAAGCAGCTTTTTCACAAAACCAGTGTGCCTTGCTGCAGCTGCAATATGGAGAGCGGTGTCTCTTTCCTTTGATAGCTTAGCTGCTATATAATCTTTATCTTCCTCGTAAATTCTTTCAGCTGTATTCCAATCACCTTTAAGTGCAGCCCGGTACAATTTAAAGTGCCTAATTCTTCTTTCATTATCTGTAAAGTTGAAACAAACAAATTTATGCATAAAATTTTTGTTATACATATATGTGCTTCTCCACATGTATCAGTGTATTTAATTTAGGTATAACCGTGTAAGCTAGAAAGATTATATTAAATTAAATCTAGTGACATTTATTTACTTGAGAAAAAGAGGCCTATATCCTATAATCATATATAATAAAAGACTTTACCTTCTGAGGATGATGTATAATTTATTACCAGCACAGGTTCTTCTTCTCTATTTGAAGATCCAATTTGTTTTTGGTTAACATTCCCACATAGTACCATTGAGATTGAAGACTCCTTCGAGACATCCACATTAAACTCTAATGATTCAAAATAAAAGAAAAATAGTAATGTTAGCAAAATTTAAAGAATTGGTTACATGAAGGATTGTAAAAGGGTATGTATTCAGAAAAGGAAGATATTAGCATTCATTCCAATGTCAAAACGTACCAGCCAGTTTCTTATTAGGTGGAGCAATCACAATCTCAACTTTTCTTCAGTTGAGGTACTTCCTGGTGTAGCATTATCCTTCATGAGTCCTGATTAATGGTAAATCTACAAAAAAAACCTTATAATTTATCACATATCTTGACGTGTCATTTATTTACAGTGGAATGTGTCACTTTAAGAAATATATGGGTTCCTTTGTACTTTTATGAAATTTCAAGGGAAACATAGTTTCCCAAATTAAGGATGTAGTACGAATGGAATTAAGTTGTTAAGGACCACAGTACCCTTATCCACTTGATTCCAGGAGGGCTTTCTACATCAATTCCAGGAAAGATGAGGAAAAAAAATAAAAAATTGATTTCATAATGATTTGAAGATTTAGCTTAATTTGGATTCAATTTGTGAATGAATATTATAGAATAACACTATCATTTATCTTAAGTAATGAGTTTAACTTAACACTCCACAAATCAAAGAAAAAGAATACTGTTCAATGAGTGATATTATTAGAGGTTCTATATTTGGTTGAACTAAGATATAAGATTAAAATGTTTCAGATTTCTTCATGATTTGATAAATTAAACAATATTGTTATTAAAATTAGGCTTAAATGTAATGAATTGCAAGTGAAACTAACCTACACTCCTGTACTCAGAGCATGATTAACTTCTCATTTACTTCCCCTCTTGTACTTGCATTTCCAACAAATGATGAAGGGATGGTAGCAAATATGGAGTGAGTCCTGTAATCAAGGATTTCAATTTAATCAAACTATTATTTCAATGGACTACAAGACCAGAGAGTTGCAGCATTAGATTATGGACAAATAGAAAAATCACAATAGCGTAGATTCAAAATTTGTGTAGGTTCAGTACACTGAGTTACTTCCTCTTCTTTGGCTCCATTGCTTTCCCTTGGCAGAAAAGGGTACGTTTGCGTGGCTGGAAAAGAGAGCTACTTACATATGTAGAACGCACCACATCAAAAAGGAGACGCCATTGTTGCTTAGTGAACAAAAGGACTGGTATAGAAGCGATTACAGTAACAAGAATAGGAACCCACAGCACTCCATCTTTGAAAACAATAAAAATAGTTGCACAAAACACTACCATCATTGCTGCTATTGATAATAAAAGTGTTGCAAGTCCAGCAACCAGCTTTTTTGGTAACTGTGAGAGGAAATCTTCTTCTGCATACCGGGAAGTTAGAATGGATAAAAAGGTTAAGATGGAGCATGCAGAAGATACTAGCGAAACTGCATCTGATAAAACAAAAATTTTGAAGGAAGTTTTTTGAACAAAATGAGGAGTCCCTGTCTCGTCTTTGGTGCCACCTGGGACAGTGAAAGCTGCTGCAAAAACCAGAGTGGCAATAAGAGTTGCCACAATCATGCAATAGTTTGCAGTGTCCTTCACCCATTTCTCTCCCTTTTCCTTTAATCCTCCATGCTCCTTAGTAAACAAGGCTCTAGGAGTTTTCCCTTCACTGTTTTTATCCTGGGCATCCAATGGATGCATAATTTTACTGACCTCCTACAAATAATGTTGTAAAAGATCTTATCAGTCAGCATAACGAATATTGATTTCTAAACAAAGAACCGTAATATTCACCTTAAACCACTGCAACTCTCGCTGCAGTTGCAGAGCAGCTCCTGATACAACATTGAGCCGATCTGGTGGTACCAACATTCCAGCCAAATGCAAGATATTATTGTCTTTTTTATCCTTGGAAGCAACTATCAAATCCTTAAAAGTACCTATCTCATGTATGAGTTTGAAGATGTCCCTATGACGATTGATAACAGCAAAATGAAATATGCTATAATTATTTTCATCAACTTCCAGTATCAAATCAGGATATTCACGTATTAGTATAGTTAGAAACTGAATGTTTCCTAGTTCTGCAGCAACAAATTTCAGTTGTCAGGCAGTTTTAATAATATTTGAAATTGCAGTCTCATCTGACAATATGATTTGTTCCCAAAGGCGTTGGATTAGTTCAAGTGCTTTTGAAGGCAACTTGGTGTTGGTACCTGAAACTACAAATTTGATTAGCCAACATCAGCATACAGAAATCTTTAGGCCGGTTAACAATGATAGAAGTCATTGCAATTCATTCTAAATAAGTAAAAGAACATAGGAGATTTGCTACCTAAACAATTCGCAAGGAAAACATTTCCTAGGCAATACTTAACTATATATGTAATGATCAAGTTAAACTAGGAATTTGATTAACACTCCGAGTCACACAATAAAAATGTCCAACAATGTAACCTACCGTTACCACAACATTACCACTTCATTATGCTATAAAAGAAATCACATTATTGCATAAATGCCATATGGCCAAAATTTGATTTGTGAAAAGTCCTAAACAAATTCTATATTGCAATAATCAAGATAAATTAGCAGTTTGAAAATATATCATGATGGGACCCCAGCAAACTCAATCAAAATACACACAGCACACCCAACAATAAAAGAACAAACACGATAAAAAAAAATGTATATTGATTCAAAAGTAAAACAAGTCCTGGTGAGTTACCATCAGACCCAACCAAAAGCGAAAACAAAGAAAGGATAGTCCTAGCAATTCGAGGAGCTAGAGGCCTCCATTGACAACTTTTGAGAAAATGATCTACCTATTCCTGATTCTAACTGTCTTAATATACTAGTGACCTTTTCCCATATTCCCTCCACACACAATCCTGCCACGTGCATTTCCTCTAACTGTATCCCACTAGCATAACAAACCTTTAGCAACAACCTCACACCCTCCTGCCCTTTGTGCCCCTTGTATTGATAAACCTTAGTAATAGGGGGCCTATCATATCATAAAAATCCTTTAGCGTCAGAACACAGTTGCAAATGATTCTTTGGCAAAAGGTGCTGGTAAGTATAAGAATATATTGTGAAATTATATCAAATTCAACTTGTTAAGAAAATATTTAGTAATAGCAGGTTTGCAAAAATGGTTTCTGAAACAAAAGTAAAAATTAAAACCGAAAGGTTAAAGTGCAAATTTTCATATCTGTTCGCGCTCCTAATCACAATTGTCATGTGAACATATATTTCAACTATAAAACCAAAAACAGTAACTTATATATTAAGGCATGCTGAATATGTCAAAGATTAAAGGAGACTTAACACAAATTTACACATTGTTTCCAAAATCCTTGCTGAATTTGAGAGGCAATAGGCGTTCGAGCCAAGGCAAGCAATGCTGTCTCCTCATTTCCATCACAAGCGACGGCTAACTCTGGGTGTTTCTCTAGCAAATCCAGTGCAACATCTGAGAAAACAACAACCATCATTAGAGATGATATAGTATCAATTCTAAATAGTGGAAGTATGCAGTTGCTATACATAATACTATATTAATTATGTTTCATAAAAGAAAAATTTTCAGATTTCTATTCACCAAGCCACTTGTGTTATGAAAGGGTTCTTTCATTAGTTTTGTCAAATCATATGTCTCTTGATGGGAATTCACAGTGTTCCTTAAAAGAATAATGGGACATTTATCAAAAAATATACAAGGGAGGATATATTAATCTGACCACCATACATGGAATTTCATATACCAAAGGTTTCAATCTTACATTGTAAAATTCAATTTTAAAGATATCAAGCGTACTACAATTAGCCAAAATATAAAGAATACGTTTTACATACCATACAAACCTTTGCTTATTAGAGTGATAAGCAATTCAATGCGGTCGTTGTCATATAATGACTTGTCATCAGTGGCTTCATAAAGGAACTGTACCATCTCTTTATGGCCAAACAATGCGGCCATGTAAAGCGGTAACATCTCATTTCTACCTCGGATCATTGCTAAGTTTCTACTCCTTTCCAGGACATCAGCTAAGTTTGTACTCTCCTCTATCATGTTGGGAAGTTCCACCTTCTGGGACTCAACAGAGAGACAATAAGCTGTTTTTCCAGCTCCTTTCTTTGTAGTTAAATCCTCTTTTTTCATCTTATTCATCATCACTTGAGCAAGTTCCACATTTCCAGACACAGCAGCAAGACAAAAAGCTGTATTGCCTGCATTATTTGTAGTAGCTAAATCCTCTTTATTTATATTATCCACCAGGTTTTTCAAAAAATCAGTTTGCTCTGCTGCAGCTGCAATATGGAGAGCAGTGTCCCCTTCCTTTGATATCCTCGCTCTTATATCATTTTTATGTTTCTTGTAAATACCCTCAGCCATGCTCCAATCACCACTTAGTGCAGCTTGATACAATTTTAAGTGTCTAATTCTTGTTTGCTTGTCTGTCAAGTGGAAGCATTTATAACAAGTTTTATCAATAAATCTGTTGATTCTTTAAAATAGGCATATAAAAATACACATTTAGGCACCAATATCAATCTATATTCAATAGTAGCTAATATCATGCCTTTGGAAAACAGTTTCTTGCCAAGTTGCCAAAGTGATTGGTAATGAAGCTAAAAGATTTTCCCCAGGGTAAACAATCCATCTGAAGAGAAACAATAGCATAGGTATAACACATTGTAAAATCTAAGCATACCAGCCAATTGACCATAAGGTGAAGCAATGACAATTTCAACTTCTTCATTTGAACCATTTCCGGATGCAAAGGTATCCCTCATGATTTCAATAGTCGGCATTTTTTGTAAACCTACAATGAACTTTATATTGTTAGATAAGTTGAATTGGATAGATTTCTCTTTTATTACAAAATAATACTTCCATCAAATTTTTAAATAGTAATTGATTTATCAACATTTTAGTTAACATTACCATATAAAATGAATGATGTAGATAATATCATAAGAGAAACAAGAGTGTTGCATTAGTTATCATATCCATAGTATAAAAGAATCGTAAAGCAAGAAGAAGACATTAGATGCATTTCATCAAATAATGCATAATCTTAGAATTTCAGGATGTCATTACTATTTTGATGTTTTAGTATAACTTACAGTTATATTACTGTAGTTCTACCACAACTACAGAGTACATAACAATGTAAACTGTGGTGCTTTACATGTTTGAGGTATTGACAATGACCTCCCCTATCGTTTGGGAAAAGTGTCTAATAGATCCAAAAGCTTTTTAATGTAGAAAGACCTCCCTTCAAGTTCATTAATTAATGAAAAATTGTCATCTTAAATCATCTTAATAGCCCTCAAATTTTTCTTTACATTGTTAATAATTAATAAAAGGCCTTGAAAGGAGGTCTCCTTACAATATAACAACTTTATGGTCCAGCTAAACATTCCTCAAACCTCAGGGAGGTCATTGCAAATTACCTTAGTCACTACACGATATTTCGATCTAGATGATAAAAAGTTTCTGACCTTCATAAACAGACTTTTTTATGAACTGCACATTTTGCACAGGCAAAATTTAAGTGTAAATTACTGGGTATACAAAAAGCTGGACAAATATTAGCATAAATTTAAGGATTACAAGGAAAATTCTACAGAAAATGAAAAAAAAAAAATTGTTTGAAACTTTTTTGCCCTCTTGGTAAGACTGACGAGTATCCAAAGCTATTGACAATGGCAGTCCTAAAACAACCAAAAATGGAAACTTGACAAAATAAAACAAAAATATACATTAAAAAGAAGAACTGGTTTCAAAAAGATTACCTTTTTTACGGCTTAAAATGCAATCCCCCGCTCGAAATGGGAAAACGAAGAAAGAAAAGCTTCAAGTGAAGAGCAAAGAGGAGAATAACGAGGCTGAAAGCTGAGAAAGAGGGAAGTAAAGTAGTGGCAGAGAGAAGAACAATCACCAACTCAAACAGAAGTCTCAGCAGCTCTCTCTCTCGAACACAAGACCAAGAAGTACAGAGTAGCCATCCACACAAAGAAAAGGAACACCCTTTATTGATAAACCCTCTGTTTACAGTATATTACAACGGTGCCACTGAAACTTGCCCAAAAAATATATATATATTTTTTTACAATAAAATATTCATGTAACTTTTGAGTCCGATGCTATACTTGTCTTCTTCACTTGCAATACTCAACATTCTTCTTCCACCGCACAAACATGGAAACATTCTGACCGACTCATTAATCTTTTGACTCTCCAAATCGCACTACGCATGATCACAACAACATCTCTGCAGATCTAGAATTGAGCTTTCATCCTCTGCGCCCATGACCAATGCCGTCAACTTCTCCACCGCTCTTCGCACACCTTCTTCTTCGACCCCTGCTCTCGGCATATCGACGGCGTTCAAGCGCCAAAATCTCAGACCCACTCGCCGATGTCGTTCACTGAGTCCGACACTTACTTCGATCTTCAGTCCCCTTCACGTTGAGGAAACTCTGTTCTGCTTTTGGATTTAAAACTTGAATTTTGCTATTCAATTCAGTTATCAAAATGGAGGATACCTTTTTCTGAGGAAATGTTTACTAAAGTTCATGGTTTTATTATTATTATTAATTGGAATAAAAAGTTTTAGTTTTAAGAAAAATTGTTATATCTAACAGAGCGAGCAAGTAGTAGCGGAAAGAAGTATACTGAGGGATCAACTGGCTCGGAGAAATGAGGAATTAAGAAGCTAAAGCAGTTATTGATTCTGCATTGAAGGATTTGAGCAATGTAGTTACTCGTTTAAAGGAAGTTTCTCCTTCTAACGAAGAAGAAGATGGAAGAAAATATCTCAGCAGCCGATATCCCCTGAAGTGAAATCAGCTGACAAATGTGAACAACAAAAAGTTGAGCCAAAAACACCTGAAGCAAGAGCAACAACGAAAACGCAGAAACGATATATGGGGACGATCAAGTGGAGATGACTCGTTGCCACCTTCGAAAAAGTCTCATCTCAGCCGGAGCACAGGTCGGTCCTTTCCTAGTTCTAGATTTTTTCAAGTGTTTGGGGGTTCTCTATGGAGTTTGAAGTCTTTTCGCTATAGAGGATTTTCTCATTGTACTTAGTTTAAAGCAATAATGTTGGCTAATATACCTCGCATCAGTTACTTATCGTCGACTCATTGAATTCACACCAACACAAAATATATTTATAAAATTTATGTCTTTTTTTTCTCAAATGAAATATAAAATTGAAAAAAAAATTTAACCATAAAATAAACTAAATTGAATAAGCAATACATATATCTAAAACTAATAAAACATAGAAAATAACTAATTGTTGCATCTGAAAAGTAAAAATTTAATAATTTCAGTCTTTAAAAGAGCAATAGCATGGAAAAAGAGCCAAAGATGAGAGTAAAGAGTTATTGACTTGTTTGCAAATGACAATTAATAAGTAATCACAGGGTTTATGTCTTGTTTAAATACATGTAAACAATTTATGGTAATTCACAGTTTAAATTTATTGATATAAGTAATGCATGTGACATGTATACTAATTTTTATAAACAGATGAGCTGTCTTATAACCACACAAATGGTCACAATTATTAGGACTTATCTTATACAAAATGAATCATATAATTAATTAATATATTGAACATCACCAATTGCATAATCACAAAATTTTATGGTTGACATTATACATTTATAATACAAATTTGAATTTATGAATGGTGATTGATGCCATTTGCTTATTTCATGGCAACTTTCTTGTTCTCTCTCAATATATGTTGAAAGTTTAAGACTACCTAAGTTCATTTAAACATATGCAAAATAAATTGATTAAGTTCATTTGTGCTTGTGGAATGATCATTCATCAACACATTACCAATCATTAAGGACATAAAGTAAATCACATAGAGGTTTACATGGTTCGGCAAATTGCCTACATCCATAACTTCTTGAATAGCTCGAGCTCTACTCAAGCTTCAAATGCCAAAGACACCTTCAGCTCCACAACTTGAAATCCCTAGAAGCTTTCATCAATGGAACCATGTTCCGACAACACTCAAACAACAAAGTTAAGATAAGTATTTTGAGGATCAAAAAATAAAGAACCTAACTTAAAATGAATAAACTCTTTAAGAATTTCAGAGAACAACCAAAGGATATTAATGTTCAAACATGAATGCAAGGATGAAGAAGATATATAGAATCCTTGCTCAACGATCACAAACATCCAATGACAAAGCCTTAACATGTTTGGCTATTTTAGGAAAGTTTTTAACAACTTGTTAGGACCAATTCTGAAAAGACAAAATAAATTCCCAGGACAACATTTGAAATACTTGACACTTGTATTTGGACCACTCACTCATATTTAATAACTGGAGAAAATCCTAACAACCAATGAAAACTCAATATTTGTACTAAAGGTCTGACTGGATAACTGATTACACATCTGTTGTAATGTGTTCACATGTTTTGTGAAAAGATAAGATTAAGAAAATGTGCACACATTATGCAGAATGTTATGACGTGTAAACTACGGACACAAATTGTGCTTAATCAAACAAATGTGCAAACAATCATATGGTTGTCAATATTATTAACTCATATTGACAGAGGCTCGCGTTAGGGAGTTATATGTACCCTAACAATCTTTTCAATCCATCTATTAAAAATTAAAACCTCAGGGTGCTCAAAATTATCAACTAATATTATAATTATAGTTTTAGATTTTGAATCAACATTATCTTGTTCTTCGGTCACATAACAAAGATAGCGGACCATAAATTCTCTGTGGCCTAACATAAGGGTTGCTTCCACTTTGCCTCGAGTCGGTGGCAACTTTTTGTTCTTGTTACCTTTTGATCCCAGATGCTGCAGCAAATGGGGAGTTGTGTCCGCTTCATACTTCATCTTATAACCTTTTCAAGTTCGAAGCAACACCTTTATGTATTAAAGATAATACAATACTTAAACTTTGCAACTTTATTCTGTGAAGTTTAATCAAGATTGTAAAGAAACAAAACTCTAGGGATTGAATACAGATAGAAAACAAGAGAAGATTATTTATTTTCAATTGACTAAGAACATATTTTATATTACAAAGACAGCAATCCAAGTGAACCTGATCTCAACCGTTGGTTCATACAACAAGAAACACAAGTTGAGTGTGAGCTATTCGTAGATCTGCTGCACTTTCTGCACTAGTGATTAACATGGCTCTTTCACCAGGAAGATGGTATTGAGAGTGATTCAAAGTCTTTAAGGGCAAATAAGTCTTTTGCTAGAGTTGAAATAGTCCAAGTGTTTAGTTTCTATTAATTAGGTGACGTGATGAAAGAAGTAAGGTGCAAGTAATTTTTTAGTAGTGCTTTAGTAAATTAGGAGTCATGGAGTCATGGCTACGTGTGTAGCCTGTAAGCCTATAAAGGCATGTCTTTCTCATTTCTCTTTGTATTGATTCTACAGTTCAATTCCTCTTTAAAAAATATTATTATTTCTGCTCTTGTTTCCATTCACTACTCGTGTCCGTCTTCATCTAATCCAATATTGTGGTATCAGAGCAAGGCTCGGTCTTGACTGGGTGAACAAAAAAAAAAAAAAAAAAGTGAGAAAGAGTGAAACACGTGACAGATCTAGATGGCAGCAAACGGGCTTTCAACCTCCACACAGCCAGTCATACCCATCTTCAACGGTGAGAAATATGAGTTTTGGAGCATCAAAATGAGAACCTTGTTCAAGTCTCAAGAGTTATGGGACGTGGTTGAGCATGGCATTATTGACGAAGTACTTTCAGATGAAGAGAAAAAATTGAACGCAAGAAGGGACTCCAAAGCCTTGTTCTTCATTCAACAAGCGATACATGAGTC